TCAAATCATGACCCCCGGGTGGTAGGTTGGGGCCACAATGGATGATCAATGTTTTACATAGAGATATATAGGAAAATTCTTTAAAAATCTTCTTCTCAGGAACAGCTAAGCCCTGATTGGTCATATTTATATGGAAGCATCCTCAGGTAGTGTAGATTCATGTTTGTTCAAATCATGACCCCGGGGGGGGGGGGGGGGGGGGGTAGGGCAGGGCACAATGGATGATCAAAGTTAACATAGAAATATATAGGAAAAATCTTTAAAAATCTTCTTCTCAAGAACAGCAAAGTCGTGATGAGTCATATTTGTATGGAAGCATCCTCAGGTAGTGTAGACTCAAGTTTGTTCAAATCATGACCCCCGGGAGTAGGGTGGGGCCACAATGGATGATCAAAGTTTTGCATAGAAATATATAGGAAAAATCTTTTAGAATCTTTTTCTCAGGAACAGCAAATCCATGATTGGTTATATTTACATGGAAACATAAGGTAGTATAGATTCAAGTTTGTTCAAATCATGACTCTGGACTCTAGGGATTGGGTGGGGCCACAATGGATGATCAAAGATTTACAAAAGCTCCTTCCATCAGTTTATTTTATACTCTATGGATCTTCTATGAATTGTTGTTTTATACTCAGGTGACTGATAAGCCCCTTGGGCCTCTTGTTTTTATAAAACTCAGTTTGAAAGAATCTTGTCAAGATATTTTTTTTAAACTTCATACAGGAATACAAATTTTCAAGTTGCATTTCAAATGAACCCTGGGTGGAGCATTCATATCCTATGGACATAATTTTCTGTCTTTGTCAGAAGACTAAGGTTTTGTCTAGTATGACTAAAATGTGCAGCAATAACCTGGGTGGTACTATAACTTGTAGTATTGTGTTGCTTAATTAAATACTACTTTAACTGTATCTTGTTCTCCACCTTGGCAGTTGCTAGGGACTTAGTAGCTCAACACTGGCAATATTTTCTAAATTTATTGATGATAATTATAAAGCAAAGAACAAGGTATTATATACCCTATACAATTTTATATAGGAGGAACCAGTGCAAGTTAGAACAAACCTTGGATACACTTGTTATTACAGGAGATAAAATTAATATGATGTGTATATACATGTGCATACTTTCTAAACATATTGAATTGATTTCTAGCTAACAATATCAGTCTAAATGAAATTAGTACATTTTTCCCAGAAATGTTTTGATTCACATATGTTACACCAGGCATAGATCAGATATATAGTTATACGTATACCTGCAAAATTTCCTTGATGACCTAAAATTGAAGTATACATACCATTAACCGAACTAACTCCAATATTATTTCAGCTATGTTGATCCATGGCCATAAATTATTCTAAATGTATAAATTCCAAAAATGTCAAACAATGTTTTCATCTAAAATTGCATGGTGAATATGTTTTTGCTGTGTAATACTGTGCATGTTGTACATAATTATCTCTAAAGTTGTGTGTGATGGCCTTGATTTCTCGTTCTCTGTTCATATTATTTTAGACCTTTGATAAACATTAATCTATATACTATATTGCCTTTTATTGAAGAGGAATTGCATGACAAATTAGTAAATATTATCACTTACTAGCAGAAAAATGATAATTGATTAAAGCATGTAAAAGATACATTTAACAAGTTGTCACGGCTATTACAACCAAAGCAATGCAGTCGTGAGGTTAGCATGCTATAAATGTAATATGTCAAGATTTATAAAGACTTCAAATAGGCAGCTCACTGGACCCTCTGATAAATGTCCATTGGGAATATTCAATTTTTTTATGCTTATATCATCTTAAAAAAGATATGAAACATTAGGAAATTAATCAGAATTTGAAAAAAAAAAAGTACTTGCCTAATTTTTTAATAGAAAAATGAAGGAACGTACAAGAGAGGTGAACATGACAGGTGATGCTGAATTTCATATGTTAGCCACTGAGAAGTAAAAGAATGAGCTGATTTAATGCCCGCCATAAATATGTTGTGTAAATTAAATTTTTCAGCTTATCTGAGCTGTAAGCTCAAGTGAGCTTTTCTGATCACCTGTTGTCTGTCGTCCATCTGTCTGTCTGTCCATCTGTTTGTCTGGACGTCTGTAAACTTTTAACATTTTTAACATCTTCTCAAGAACCAATGCACCAATTTTAACCAAAGTTGCTATAAAGCATCCTTGGGTGAAGGGAAGATTAAATTGTTAAAATGAAGGACCAAGTCCCCTTACAAGGGGAGTTAATCAAGAAAAGACAAAAATAGGATGGGGCCAATAAAAAATTAAAATCTTCTCAAGAACCACTGGGCCAGAAAAGATGAAACTTATGTGGAAGCATCCTGAGGTAGAGTAGGTTCTTAATTGTTCCAATCATGACCCCCCCCCCCCCCCCCCCAGGGTAGGTTGGGGCTACAAGTATTACAAGGGGGGAAATCTGGTGAAGAACAGCAGGGGCAAAGTCACTTAGGTGAGTGTTGTGGCCCATGGGCCTCTTTTTTTTCAAATCATGATCCCAGTGGAAGGGTGGGGCCACATTAAATATATAAGTATATTTGGAAATATATAGAAAAAAGACCTTTAAAACTTGGATCCAAGTGGACTAAGGTGAGCAATATGACCCATGGGGTTCTTTTTTTATTTTTTGGGAGGTGGATGGGGGATCACTTCAAAATATTTTTTTCAATTGGTACTTACTATATAAACAGAGACTTACTGCACTTTATTAGTTAATTGTTACAAATTGTATATTATGTAAACTGATATATACTAGTATGTACTAATACACTTCTTTCTTGTCACATTGTGTGATTTTTAAAAAAAATGTAAATGCATTCCAAAAAGATGATTGACAATTGTTATTCAGTGGTTTTATTTGATTCACTGTATGTTAAAATGCAAGAGTAAATGATATTATTCAATTATCTGTCGAAGGCATATTAGATGAACCCCAGGAGCTGCTCTGATCAGGAGAAATGGCACCACAGAATGTAAAAATGACAGCCCATTTCAAACAGAGAACAAAGATTACGATTTAATTGTTGTTTTGATGTTAAAAATGGTAATGCATCAGACTATTGGAGAACTCCGCTGTGTCTGCCATTTGTGTAGGGAATTGTCTTGTTTTTTGCAAAAAAAAATTTAAAATTGACAGCGATAAAGCAGTCTGCTTCCAGTTCTTTGTTTTGGTCTAACGTGTTACATTGGCATGCAGTTTTCTAGAAAAAGTGGAAGCTCGTGGAGTTGACATAAATATGCACTTTTAATTAGAAAAAATTTTAATGTAACAGTCAATCTACAAGTATTTCAGTAATTAAAGTATGCAGTTAATCTCTTCCACCAGCATGACAGTCAGTCTGTTGACCCCTGATAGATTGGACAGGGCTTTAATATGGGTCCTATTATGTGCTGAATGATCTGTATTATACACAGGTCTCATTCATCTCTGATTCTTTGTATAGAGATATTACAAAAAAGGGGTTACTACTACATACAATGGTATAAAATACTTCTGTAGTGGATACATTTATTCTTTAATCACATTTCTTCTTGCTAGATTTGCCTGCAGACTTTCACATTTTATGTGACATGCATATTTTCTGTTAGAAATGACTCTCACACTTGAAGATTGAGATTTCCTCTCAACACTGCTTGAGCATCTTCACAGTTATTAAGCCAAGAGTTTCTGATCAACTACTTTCCTCACAAATCTTTGGCCTATGGTGCTATCAAAAGTCTGGATTTTTTCTCAAGTTGTGATTGGAGTTTATTGATATCGTTAGACCAATCAGTGATTGCTTTTGTAAATGATGATATCTCCTTTTGGGGTATATCTTGACTCTATAGTCTCCGGAATGAAAAACAGAGGTAAACTACAATCCGTAAGAATAACGTGCCATTCTATATATAGCTTTGATGTCTTCCATTTTTAAGCCAATGTGCACATAATGTGATCAGGAATCTACATTGATTTAGATTTGCACCCTAAATAACAAATAAACATTGCTCGATACCGTCTTTAAATACTTTATTAATTTCTTAAAACACTTTATTTCTGTGACCGACAGTGTTGCAAATAACATTTAAAACTTTAGGGGCCATGTGGCCCCCAACTTTACAAGTTTAACTAGCCCAAATTGATATTTTGGGGCCCACAATTTCTTTCCACTTTGTAAGAAAAAAATTCTTGATCTTTATGCATTCTAATCTCAGAAAAATACAGTCAAACTCTATGGGACCGAGGAAAAACTTCGAGTCACCTCTGAGGTTTCGAGATATCAAGGGTAAAATACTAAAAGAATATGAGGTTGGGACTTGAAAATCACTTCAACATATCCATGGTATTCCAGATATCTGGGCTGAGATGCCGAAATTCAACAGTTTTTACTGTAGGTATTTGCTGTCAATAGTCTTTCATTTCCTTGATGATTTTGACAACATGAGTGATTTATGAATGTGATTTATGAATGAAATTGCATGAAATTTTATGTTTTCCTTGTTTTGAGACCTCGCAAAGTTATAACGTAAAAGCAATTTGAAGTATTGAAAACATTTTGTAGGTCGGAAACTATGAAAATGAAAGTGCATTTAATTGTAGAATCAAAGCATGGTCAGGTTCTGGAAAAGTTCTGATAGATTTCTTACTTGCCATGTGGGTGATTACTTTCTCAAGAGGTGGTCACCCATTGACAAAATTACTAGCATTTACTAGTGGGTGAGTAGTTATTTATTACAACCCTGGTCAATGTGTTCCTGCACTGTGGTGGGCAAAACTTGGTGGTAGATCTAGCTTAGTAGAGCACCGGTACCTGTCTTGAGTTCAAAGGGCTGGGGTTCAAATCCTTGTCTGTTCTAAATGCATTTTCTCCCTTTCTCTTACATATATGCATATACAGTGTTATAATTATCAAGGTGACAATTTTGTCTTATCAGTTTGCAATGTTTTTTTGACATTTTTTACTAAAATCATTTCAAAATCAGTTGTTTTCTGTTGTAGCATGAAAGATAAAGCTAATGCATTTGGTGAGGAAGTAAAAATGCTGACCCAGAACTTGACCAATTACAACACTTATTCTGACATGGTAAGTTTATTGTTTCATGTAATTACGTTTTAGTTCCATATGCAAATTTCTGATTATTTTAGCCCAACATAAACAGCTGTTGTGTAACAATCAACAGTATATATCTATCTGACTGACTGCCTTTCAATATAATCACTTTAATGCATCGTAAAAACTTGAGTATTTGTTGTTTGTTTGTTAGCTATAGGGTTGGTTGGTCAAAAATCAAGATTTAATGATATGATCTGCTTAAATTTTTAAATTTTGATATGAAACTTTTAACGTATATTCATATATACATAGAGACTTCAACATCTTATAAGTCGAAGATTTATGTGAAGACTTCATCAGTTTGTAAGTGGAAGATTTACATATAGTCTCAGACTTCATCAATTTATAAGTGGAAGATTTACATATAGACTTCATCAATTTATAAGTGGAAGATTTACATATAGACCTCATCATTTTGTAAGTGGACGGTTTACATTCATGCAGACTTCATCAATTTATAAGTGGAAGATTTACATATAGACTTCATCAATATATAACTGGAAGATTTACATATAGACTTCATCAATTTATAAGTGGAAGATTTACATATAGACTTCATCAATTTATAAGTGGAAGATTTACTTATAGACCATCAATTTATAGGAGGAAGATTAACATATAGACCTCATCATTTTATAAGTGGAAGATTTACATACAGACTTCATCAATTTATAAGTGGAAGATTTTCATATAGACTTCATCAATTTATAAGTGGAAGATTAACATATAGACCTCATCATTTTGTAAGTGGAAGATTTACATATATAGACCTCATCATTTTATAAGTGGAAGATTTACATATAGACCTCATCAATTTATAAGTGGAAGATTTACATACAGATTGACTTCATCATTTTATAAGTGGAAGATTTACATATAGACCTCATCATTTTATAAGTGAAAGATTTACATATAGACTTCATCAATTTATAAGTGGAAAGTAGAGACTTCATATAAGTGGAAGATGGATAGAGAAAGAAACCTTTAAAATTTGTGGCCACTTGATCATTTGCAAAGTTTTAAAGATCAAGAGTAAATAAATCAGCATTACATATTTATGTGATATTCAAATCTTGGATAGTTTTTTTCACCTGCAGATTTTATTTACATTTATTTTTAAACTGTTACTAGAGGAAATATCTATGGAACGTAGGAGTCTAGCTGTTGTCAAATTATCAACTGTCCCATTGAGACAATTCAATTTGGCACAAAAAGGATTTCTCCATCCACAAACTTCATTTATTTAACAGAGCTGTTTACGATTACAGAGATTCCATATTTGTCACAGATTTCAGTTTCAAAATACAGATTACAGAATGATCAACTTCCAAAAATGACACTTATGGGTTGAATTATGCTAAATTTTTTTTTTTTTTTTTTTTTTTTTTTTTTTTTTTTTAATTTTTGATGATGATGAGGATTGCAAGTTACATTAAATTATCTGTAATCAGTGTCTTTAAGGTTTTTATGTGAATAAATTATGCAAAAATCATATCATAAAGTTATCAAATGTACATTAGAAAATTAAGCCAATTTATTGCTAACACGAAGTTGTTGATGAAAAGCTCAAATTACCGACGTCAACATAAATCGTTTGAATTACTGAAAACTGCAGATTTGATTAACATGTCTGAGTTAAGTGAATTATTGCTGGAAAAAGAAATTTTTAGGTAACTTGATCTAAAGGTCAAGATTATTCACACTTTTAAGCTTAATATGACTGAGATTATTCTAGGTAACTGACATATTTTAGTACAATCAGAGAATGCATATGATAGGAATCTGTTTTATCGTCGCGACAAGATGACTGTATAGTTTAGAGGTTGATCGACTTCTCAAAGGTCTCCTATCTTTGAAAGACTTGAAACTGCTAAAGAAGTACACTTTTGCATGTACAAGTGACGGAAAGAATTCCCCGTACATCTTCAAGATCCTTCGATAAGAACTAATGAGATTTCACTGATAACAACTCTTTTGGCACAAAACAGACACGAGGATAAAACAGCTCAATATCTCGGATAAAAGTGAACTAATTTTTGTTAATTATAAATCCGACATCCGTCTGTACCAGTGATGATACCGGAAAAGGATTTTTTCTTTTTTAAGAAAAAGACTGATACGTGTTGTCTAATTTTACCAGCATGCGGATTAAATCCATCAGAAAATTAGCAATTGTGTAGGATTCATGTATTATCAATAGCAATAGTTAAATGCAGAAATTTTAGCCCTAGGAATGTAGTGAATTTAAATCAATAAAACTCTCAGGTTTCGGCCTTTTTTCCAGATTCTATTGTACCAGGCTTGATTGTGTCCCCAGAGTAGTATTGTTTAGTAGAATCTAGTAGTCTCTCTCTCCATTACTGAAAAATGCACGTTACTTTCGTGTATTGTGATTTAATCTTCTGCCTGTATTTAGTCTACAAGGAATTGACAAATTTGGCTGCATTGTCTAGTGTTTTAAAACAATGATTGTCAGTAAAAGAATAGTATTCAATGAAATGTGAAGTTAGCTATTAAATTCTTTGTTAAGTGAATAGCAATCAAAGATTAATATCACACTGAAAATGGAGAACTGAAACATCTATTAAAATTTGGAGCTAAAGATGCTTTAGATTGTTATGTAAGAGTCCATTATACACAAATAAAAAACGTTTTTTGGACATTGAGAAAATTATGTCAGAGAAAGGTGCAAGTAATTTCATATACAGTGGTGCCTCATTATATTCAAGCATATTTAAAAAGTGTCCCTAAAAATTGTCCAGATATTAAGTAGAGCATAGGTGAATAAAGCTATAAATTCTTTAAAAACATATAAAGAAGGTAAAGTGCCTGGATTACTGGCATCCTATTATGCTGTGCCATGGATACCTGAGCTTTTTACCTCTGGAAAAAAAAGTTTTATAAAAAAAACTAAAGTATTGATGAACAGAAAATTGCTTACTTATGTATAAGTAGAGAAAATACATGAAAACAAGCAAATTCAAAGAATTTTGTGGTTCCCTGTTTTCGGTGTCTTAGTGGTTTGGATGCAATGATTTTGTGGCATATTTTTAAAAATGTCTTGTTTGTGTCTCCTGCAAACTTACAAATCAAAGTCATGAGGTCAAAAATTGGTATACCTTTCTCAGAGATGTCGTCATAGATAATTTACATGAAAAATATGAAGGTCCTGTCTTCTAATTCAAAAGTTCTAACCAATGTAAAAAAAAAAAATTTGAAAAAGACTGTAGGTTAAATCAGAGTATATTCGGAAAGGTTTTTGAAAGAGGTAAAGCACATAACATAAATGCCCCATCTTCTCTCAAACAAAATTTATCAGCAATGTTGAAATTTTAGAAAATTAAGTCAAACTTCAAGGTCATGGGTTAAAAATCGTAGTACATTTGGAAAGGTTTAGTCACAGGTAATGCCCTTGTAACATGAATGCCCTATCTTCTCTCCTTCTAAAGTTAGCAGCAATGAAAATTTTTTTGAAAATTAGGTCAAACTTGAAGGTCAAGGTCACAGGGTCAAATATCATAGCACATTTGGAAAGTTGTTGACACAGATAATGCACTTAATTGTCAAATATGAATGCCTTATTTTCATCCATTCAAAAGTTATATAAACCAATGTGAAAATTTTTGGAAATTAGTGACACTTTCAGGTGAAGGTCACAAGGTCAAAAATCAATAATTTTCGAAAACAGGAAGTTTAAAAAAAATTGTGAAATTTAGAGCAGAGGGTCATTAGTCCTTAAGGAAGCTATAAACACTAATGAAAAATGTGTTCTGGACTTTGAGAAATTTTTAACATTTTAAGGTGTTCATATTGAATATATTTAGTTCATTTTCAGCATAGTGTACCTGCCATATTTCTCCCAGAAAAATGTTCAAAGATGATGAAGTATTAGCAATTGAAATCTGCACTTTTGTTTTCATCCCTTGGGGAAATACATGCAATAATGTTTATAATTACTTTATCTTGGTTTAATAAAATGTTTAGAATACATTTATCATATTTCATATTGTGTCATTTACTATAGATTTCCATTTTTTTCATTTTATATCAATTTAAAAGGATAGATGACTCTTAACTGCATAAAACTATCATGAAATTAGATCTTCCTTTAGATGTATGTTGCTCATTTAACTAGTGGTGTTCCAATCATCGATTATAATCGAAAATCATTCAATTGCTGGCATAATCCAAGTGCTCGATTACAAAATTTTTATTCTGATTAATCGGGTTATTTATTTTATTTTACAAGCGTAATAGTTTTTAAGCTGAATATTTCAGCCGTGATTTGTCTATTACCTTATTTGTGTATCGTAATGCGCAGATGAACAGACATCGTATTCATACCCGGGTAACAACGCTCATTTCCGGGTATGGATGTACTTTGGATTCTACAAAATGAACGAAGAACCATCTGGACTAGATAAAACGTTAATCTATCATTAAAATGATATTGTCCTAATTTAGGACTTGTCCAGAGACACAATTAGAGCTGGGCCACCACAGAAAGTAGTTATTCACACATTCTTACCATTTAATAATTTAAGCTGTGCTTACGCAAAATAGTTTGTATAGATTGAGAAACTGTCTTTTATTTGTGTTGATTTTGTGGTATATTGGTTTTAGAAATAGCTGTGTAGGAATACCCAGCATGTCGAGGATTTGACATTTATACCGGAGATTAATCACAATTCTGCATTGTAATAGTGGAATCTTCTGGTGATTTAAAACACTGGTGACATTTAAATCAGCTCACTCTGAGGATTGTCATGAGATTAATAACAGTGTCAGTATAGTTTATAATGATTTCACAATCTCATTAAGGCAAGAATTAATTGTGAAATTTGATAGTAAAGGAGTACTAACTCTAAATGTCAAATTATTTAAAATATAAGTGTGTATTATTACATGCATTGTCACACTTTGCAGAAACAACCCCCACCCCCACCTCCCTTCCCACACTTTCCCTCCAAGTATGATGTTACATTGCATGATATATATATAGCCACCTTGAATAAAACATACTGTAAAATCACATATTTTTGTAGGGTCAAATTTTCATGGTTTGAGAAAAAATATGGGTTCGTGGGGATTTGATTTCGTGTATGAAGAATTGTTGAGTCGTTATGTATATGAAATTTTGCATTTCGTGGTGAACATGATTTTGTGGGTCTCCTCATACTTCGAAAACAACGAAAATTAAACCCCCACGAAAATAAGTGATATCACAGGACGGTGACTTTTTCAGTTGAAATGTTTGAAATCTTGTGTAGTCAGGTAGAAACATCTTCTTGAGAGGAATTAATATTAGAGGAATGTGATTATTTCAGACTCTGACTTCTGCAGTATTATGATCCACTTCTTCTGTCTTCATTTCCTTCCACTTCTGTTCTCACTTTGATCCACCCCTATCTTCCATGTAAAATACAGTGCATTATGTAATGATCCACCTCTTCTGTCTTCATTTCCTTCCACTTCGGTTCTCACTTTGATCCACCCCTATCTTCCATGTAAAATACAGTGCATTATGTAATGATCCACCTCTTCTCTCTTCATTTCCTTCCACTTCTGTTCTCACTTTGATCCACACCAGATTTCTGTGGTTATAGCTAACAATGCAGAAATAGACAAAATCACTTGTCAAAACATTAATTGTCCTGTTCATATTTCACTTTTCACTTTTTGGTAAGAAAATGTGAGTTCTTCTATGTAATAAGATTGATTTTTGTGAACAGGTTATATCTTATAAATGAAGAGGATCAAGAGATGATGATTAACTGCTTTGAGGAAATTGACTTTTGATTGTAAAATAATCATGGTTTACATGTTTTAGACATTAAGTGAAAAAATTCTAACCATACTTTGAGTTTGAACACACTGTATTTAGATACTTTGATCCGTGCACCATCATTAGGGCCCCGCAAGGATTTGAGTGTATTGAGAGCATTTATACGCTCGTATTTTAAATTTTTAATACAATAATATATTATATGTCATTTCTATTTTTCATGATGATTTATTCAGGCCCGTAGGAAGGAAATTCGGTTGGGGGGGGGGGGGGGGGGCACAGCCATACATTTTCAGTTGATAGTTGAGGGGGTACTACCAAGATGGCCGTGATTATACTCAGACAAGATAATACAAAGATACATATTCATATTATTTGTTATAAATTCAATTTTCAGAACTTGATATTCAAGTAATATGCTGTTATAGTTTTTATTAAACAGAAAAATGAGAGAGAGAGAAAGAGAAATATTCCGTTTTAGCCCCCCCCCCCCCCCCATTTCAGGCTTCACTAAATGTTTGTACCTATATCAAACAAAAACTCTGAAATTTTTTTCTAAATATATCAGACAGTGAAAGTAACTTCTTTTTTTTTATCAACAAATCATATCCATTTGTTTGACAGTCATACTCGTTTTTATTTTCCTGCTTCAAGTTCACTCGAAGTCCACATGCTTGTCCTGTCAATCAAAATCATTCGACACTGTGCAGATGTGAAAGTTTCATCACATCGAAGACGAAGTGCGAGTATTTCCAACAAGTTATAACATTTATTTTTATCATTTCTAGATTCGATTCCAACATTTGAATAATAATTGAATGAAATACATTGGGCATTAACACTTGAATTTGAAACAAACTCTCTGCCAATTCCAAATACCACCACCGACACGTGTACATTTTGAACTACTATTGTTTTGTGACTTTTTTAGATGCATGTTTGTTTTGAGACTGAAATGTTTGTTCTAAAAAAGACCTTAACTTTTTTTTTTAAATGTTAATTAAAATATTCTTGAAATACAATACTGACTAAGTAACTGATTTAGGGGGAAAAGGGGGGGGGGGTATTAATTATATCGAATGGCAAACATATAAAGTTACGGTGAAGAAAGATTTTTTTCTCTATAACTATAGACTTTACATATTATAGTAGAGAAAATTCTGTAGTGCATTACATTTTAAATAAATATTTCCTTTAACCACACTAACAATTTAATTCACTCCAAAGATAATAAATTAACACGATATCCGCAGTACTATGTATAACTCTCAGAACTACTTCTATCATATTTTCTGTAGTAATTGAAAAAAAAAATGTTTGAAATAAATATTTTCGTAATTTTGCTGCGTAATTATTTGACTTGGATAATTATATCTCCATTAACGATTTGTCGTCTTCAACAAAAACAACAAAATGTTGCAGTGCTTGAAGTATTTGCACATTGCCCTTAGTTAAATATTTCAGCATCGTTCTACATAGGTACAGAATGTGCTTATAACAACATTTATTTTCAAGAGTAATTTAATAAATAACCTAACAGCTAAGTTAGAATAATAAAAATATATATCATAGATATTTTTCCCCATGAAATAATGATTCTTCAAACACGATATGTTAGTTATTAAATTAAAAAACCTGTAACTCCTAACCTACAAAAAGATAAGTCCTTTCACTTGGAGTTCCCAATGACAATGAAAAATGAACGATAGGTGAACGCTGAATGCATGGTGAACGCAAAGTGAACGGAACAAAGAGTGAACGCTGAATGCTTTGTGAACGGTGAACGCGAGCGCACGGTGAACGGTGAAGGCAAAACTGTGAACGGTGAACGCAAAACTGTGAACGGAGAGTGAACGGTGAACGAACGGTGAGCGAACGGAAAAATGGGAAAGTAGAACGTTTCAGGAACTGTATGTAAATTCAAGAATACTATTTATTTTAACAGGTAATCGGATAATAACCTCATTCTATCATTGCTGAAAAAGTTCTTATTGTAAACTTAGAAGAAAAGGTTGAGAGAGCAGTATAATTCATCCCCTGGGATTGGTTATCTTGCTGGTCACAGAAAATTTTAGAGGGTTATGTTTCTGTCACTTTAAGATTAATTACACCTTTGTCTGCAACTGATGTTTGTTTTGAAGTTAAGGTCAAGCCTGGGTGATATTTGCATTCACTGAAGGCTGGTATTTTAGAAAACACATGCTTCATTCTTCTTTAAAAATACATTTAATTGAGTTATTATAGATATGATGTTTTTAACTGCCTTATATAAATACAAGGATGCTATTTACAGGTTGTTGGATATTTAGCAGTTGCTGTTGCTTATTCTTCTTTATATATTTTTAAATTTTTGTAATCAAGTAAAATTCTCATCCCCTAATTTGCACCATTATATTTCTACCCCTCGGCGGGCCCTTGCTGACTGGTCAGATTTCTAGTTATAATTACTTCAGACATTATTCTTTACAACAGTAAAAAAAAACTTTGAAGGAGAACAGATGCACATTTAGTCATTATAAAGTGTGGGGTTTTTTTAGTTGTAGGCTGAGCTAATTTTACTAAATTGTAGATTGCCATTTAACATTGAATTAAAATGAGTAAGCAGTGAATTGTTATAAATTAAATTTTTTTAAATAGATTATGATACATTTTTTTAAGGCCCGAAAACACCTGACAGTGCCTAAGAACTTGAATCCCCAGGATCTGGTAGATAAGTTCGCCAGGGAGATAGAGGAACTTCTAGAGTCAAAGGTCAAGGCTGTTGAGGTATAGTATAATTACTTATCTGATGATGGTTCTGAATTAAGACAAGTTCACAAATTATATATTTTTCAAAGTGCATGTCAACAACAACAACAAAAATGAATATAACTACAGTTGATCAAGGTAAAAAAAAAGTCAAATTTGAAGAAAAAAATTATTTAATTACTTTTAAGTTGATTTTTTTCATTAAATAAAAAACAGAAACTGGTGATTGCTGCAGAAAATGCCAAGAAGGACCATGAATATAGGAAAAATTTGCAGGTATGATTAAGGACATGTTTGTTTGTTTGTTTTTTACTAAAGAGCAGCTAGTAGGTTGAGCTTTTGTTTAAAGATAAGACTTTTTAATTAGAGTATGAGCATGATGATTCTGAGTGATATATAATATATAACAGTAAAACCCAGAGTAATGTGTATTCCTGTCCCCAAATTACTAAGTGAATCAAGGAAAACACATTCACAATGGTTGACATTTTCTCATTTCTGTAAAGCAGAAACTTGGATGGGTTGTACTAATGGATTTTGCGTCCATATCAATGCCTGGTCAGTTGCACTGATCCCTTCACACTATTTGTTTAAGAGCTATCCCTATTAAACCTATCAGATGCAGATTTGCAGACCAAAATTACCACAATATGGCATTTTCCCATGATTTGTGCCAGACATTAGATTTCCTTAAATGACAAAATCAATGGCACTGAGGGCTGCATTTGTGATAGGGAGCAGGCACTATATGATGAAGTGATCACTTGTAAATTATCATTTATCAGTTGATGTTGCATCATATTTTTGTCAGCATAATTGCAGTTTTGTGTGTGTTTGAAGAGTCCTGTAAAATTCAGCTTCTCAATTTACAAGGAGTCCAGCTAATACATTAGATATAAATATGGTTAGATTGATATTATGATAATTCTTACTGGGATCTTTTTTCTGTATTATACATTTGCACCATTTTCCTAAATGAATGGTATTTTATTTGAACTAAGTAAAAAAAAGTAACCTAATTCAAAGGATTAATGTCCCTCACTTAAGGATAAAAGTTTATCTAATTTTATCCAAAACAACAATATACATGTACAAGTTTGTGTTCTTTGACCCTTTCACCTAAAAATCAAAAGGGTTCATGTTTTTGCCATAAACAGGGGTTGTATTTTAGTTATATACAGTATTTCATACCATATAATGAATTTCTGACCTTGATCTGCCCTCGTTTTGGCCTAAAAATCAATAGGGCTTTTCCTAAGTTAAAGTCCTTGCCTTAAGTTTCATTGCAGAAGATCAAAGACAACAGAAATTATCATCTGGGAACCATTGTATGCAATATATGAATGTCTGAACTTGACCTTTAACTTTTTGACCTCAAAGTCATCAGAGTTCTTGTATGAGTTATAGGAAGATATACCCAGAGATATCATCTGGGAGCTATAGTTTTAAGACACAATGATGGACAGCCTGCTGTTAATATCCCTGTCTTTTATAGAAAGAACAAAAAAAAAATTACTGTGTAAATTAACTTTGGGAAAAATGATATAAAAAAAATTCATTGTAAAAATTATTTTCTTAGAGCAACATACACATTGATTTGAAGTAAATGATGAAATTAAAGATTTGTGTTTTATTTACAGGTATACATGTACAGTGAAACTCGTTTAGTTTGAACACGGATATAGTGAAGTTTTTCTGGGTCCCCGGCAAAATTCTTAACAATTCCTTGTAAAATTTTACCGTTATAACAAACTCTGATATAACGAATTTACGGATATAGCAAACTGATTATGAGTCCCGTAGAGGTTAAAAATAATGAAATAATCATCGTTTATAATGAATTTTCAAAGGTCTCTAAATTTGATATATTGAACTGACTTTATTTTCGGTAAGTATTTGTATATAATATTCAATTCATGATAAAACCTTAGTTATCCAAGGTCTGTTTTGTAATAATTGCTTCCATAACATATTCGGTAGTAATACTTGAAGGAAAACGTGTATATTGCAAATTTGCTATATATACTAATACGAATTCACAATACGGATATAACGAATTACGGATATAGCGAATTAAATTCAAAGGTTCCCACGACTTCGCTATAACCGAGTTTTACTATATATGTTTTAGAATAAATTTTCAGATTGATTGCATGATATTCAATTGTTGTTCAACAGTTTCAGTTCTGAAATCTTCAAAGGTGGCTGTTCTTCTTTATTTCAGCTGGAGTATGTTAACAACAAAAAAGTTCTGAGTCAGGAAGATCTGAAGAATATTCCCATGGCCATGAGTTCAGATATATATGCAATGATCAACTTAACTAGTGATCACCTGTTTAATGAGGTCAAGGTCAATCCTAATTACAGCACCATTCATGTGCCAACCAATGTTTATGATCAGGGTGAGCACAGGAATCTGTTTTATGCATGATCAAATTTTTTTCTGCTTTGAATTTATAAGAATGTACATCTAGCTTCAAACTAGTTCAGTGGACTGGATTTTCACAAATAGTGGTCATGAAAAAAAGAGATCATAGTTATTATCCATAAAACCTCATGTGGTAACTAAACATGTATAATAGGATTTGTACTTTTTCTAACATGTATAATAGGATTTGTACTTTTTCATGAGACTATAACAAATAGGTCACACTAGTGAGAGCAGTAGTGTTATATCGGAGTGTGAAGGTTTATAAGTGATGACATTTTTGATGAATTGCTTTCTCTAAAGCCCTTTACCAATGTATTGGATTTTTGTAATCATTTTGATTGAAAAATGTGATCCTGCAACAAAACCACTAACAATTTATAATGTGATGGTGGCGTTTTAGAATTATTTCATAAAAACACAAGCTTGTGTTTCTGGTTAAAGGATGGAAATCTCGTATTTCAAAATAGAGCTTAGCAATCAACTACTGGAAAGAAAAATGGACCACTGTAGCCAGAGTGCCTCAGTTCAAAAGTTAAAAAAAAGTGTGTGCATGTTTTCTATGATCATTTTAAAGAAAATGATAAAGGAAACAAAGAAAATGTACAATTTTTCAAATTCTTTTATAGCTCACCTGAGTCAAAGGCTCATTTTATGCTCGTCTGTACAATTCCAACCTAATACTATCGTGTTGACAGTATTTTTAAGCGTGAGAATTGAATTTGAAAACAATGGACCACATCACCAGTCCGATTTCCTGCATTTCCCAATTGTCAACTTTCTGGAGTCAAAATATACCTGGGGTATCTATTGTCTAATCTGGTTTACCTGAGCTCTGTGTGCACTGTCGTGACACAAAATTTTGTTCTTGTGCACTGTAAAAACAAACAAGCTAGGTGAACATTGAAAACACATGTCCATTGCTAAAAAATGATTTCCTCCACTTTGAAATTTCATTCTGTATCTTAAGAAAAAAAAATGTTGAAAATGTTTATAGTTCCAGAATTTGAGGATCGACAAGTCAATTTAAAATAGTCGTCTTGTAGAGAAATTTTTGGCGCTAGTCAAACTTTTTAGGCACCATGGCAACTAAATTAGTTGCCAATTAGAGCCCTGTAATGAATCAATTACATGAAATGCTACTTAAAAAGGCCCCTGGGCTACATGCTCACCTCCTGGGCATTTTATGATCAGTTTGATACACGTCTCTCTAGATACGAGTGTATACTATTGCGTCTTTTTCACCAGTTACTTAGACACAAAAAAAAGAGTACTGGACAAAGTACATTAAAAATTTTTAGAGGTGGTCATTTGTGTGGGGGTTTAGTGTCTTAATTATAGCAAAATCTAGTTTATTATTTTTATTATATATTTTTTTCTTTATTGATCAGCCCCAGTGATCCTGAATGGCATCAAGTGGTCAAAGAAGTTGGATTCAATATTTAAAGAAAACAGGAAGGCGTTTTCGGACCTAAGGTGGCAGTACTTTTGTAATGCAGATGGTTTCCTGAGGATTTACCCAGGTAGGATTGCTTTAGATCAGATTTTACAGGCTACAGCTTGTAATTACAGGTGAGGAAAACTTTACAGAAGTGTTATTACTTACTAGGTACATGTAGAAAGTCTAGGAAAATTAGTCATTTTTCATGAACAAGAGAATAAAGAAACTGTTTATTTGAATTAAATGATAAATAATTTATTAGTTCTCTTTTTTCCCTACTGTCTGTAATTATTAAGTTTATGGCCCTTTCACTGTAGATCATTCACTGTTCATAGAGGTAATGCTGTCCTGTTCTTCATGTATCTTAATTCTCATCTTTTGTAGGTATAAAATGGCCTATCAGGAATGAGGAGGATAGTGTAGATATGTACGACTGTAGGGTCAGGAGCTGGTAAAATTAGTTGTTTTTCCCCACATTTGTTAAATTAAGTCTTTGTACTGTCTTGGTGTAATTTAAGGTCACATGAGTCAATTAGGTGACCTTTTGCTCTGGGTTCCCGACCATCTATTTGCATTGTGCATCATTCATAAACATTCAAACATTTTTAGTTTTTTCTGTGAAGTGGCTGAAGTAACGTCAACTTATTTAGCTTTAAACAAAAAATTTGTAAAATCCATGGTCCTAACCTTCAAGGGGCCTGAGGGATGGGTCCAAAATCACCAAAGTCATGCATGCAGTCTTCAAAATTCTTCCTGTATACATCCAGCAAGCAAACTTTTTGCAATATGAAAATGAACAGTTAATTTTCATAAAAATGTAAAATTTATGTTCCCCCGGGTCCAGGGTTTAGACCCAAGGATGGCCTTATCCTAAAAAAATATTTATGTATTTGAAAAGTTTCTTCATAGGCAAGCATGATGATAATGAACAGCAAGCCCTCTTCCAAAAATGTGAAATGCAATCTTTTCTGGGTCCGGGTGTTTGGTTTACTAGGTCCAATATTGAATGAAAATTTATTTTACAGTGAACCCTTGAAAATTTTATTTTTTCATTCTTGATCATATAGTAATCAAAATGTATAATGATGGCAGTAAGGTATTTGCCTTTTACCAGATTGTGAAATTTGTGCCCCCTGCAAAGCTCTGGCTTCAGGATGGGGCTTATTTGACCATATAGTAAAAATCCTAGCTGAGTCATGAATATGATAGTTGAACATGAGAGTCCTCACCAAATTGTAAAAGTCATATTTATGATATAAGTCATATATCATATGAGTTTCAGAGTTCCAGGTGCAGGAGGAAGAATTGGCAATTGCTAGCTACTGCGAAACTATAATGACAATTAGGTGCATGATTGCCAAGACCCAAGGGCCTGTTGTTTGATATTGTCATGTTTGCCAATCTGTTGAAATAATGCTGTTGTCATTATGAAGATTGAATTAGTATATTACAGTTGAACTCTTTGGTATTTCAAAAATTGATATCTCAAATACCTTGGACTTGTCAATGTGAGTTGCAAGTTTCAACAACTTTTTGTGTTTTTTAACCTCAGTATTTCAAATCATCCTATATTAATTTTTTTTTAAGTTTGAGATAACAAGGTTTGATTGTATATTACCAAGAAAATGAAAAAAAAAAAATCCAGAAAGAGAAAGTTTTTTTTTTGTTTTGTTTTGTTTTGTTTTGTTTTTTGGAGAATCTCCAAAATATGAGTTCATAGGAAAAATGATGTCAACAGCACACAATTTTATAGTTGTTTAGAAAACCATTGAATAACATTAAGTTTGGTAGTTATCCATGCATCCATGTACATCCTTGCCAATTTGATGACATTGTTTCAATTTTGAAGGTATATTAAGGCAGCCAGCTCTTCTAAAAATATCGTAATATTGGTGGACACCAGTGGAAGTATGAAGGGCCGGCGAAGAATCATAACAGGAAAAACCATACAGAAACTTCTGGAAACTCTCAGTGATGACGACCACTTCAACATTATCAGGGTATGTTAATGATTGGTGTCTGTCATGACCTCCAAAGTAATTTAAGAGAAAGGGTGAAGCTTTTTAAAGAGCAGGAATAGAAAATTCTTCTTCTTTTTTTTTTTATTTGTTAAAAGGAAGAAAGGATGTGAATATGCTGTGTAAATTTTAAAAACATTTGTAATTTAGAACTGTTTATCATGTTCATACTTGTGAATTTTTAAGTAGAAAGAAAATATTGTGAAGCTTAAAGGAGTGTATTCTGTAATGTCTTCAGTATTCTGACAAGCCCGAGTACCTGGACAGCTGTTTTAATGGGACACTGATGCAGGCCAATATACAGAACAAACAAAGAGCTGTCAAACTCTTCAGGGAGTTAGAGATGAAACAAAAAGGGGAGCTAAATCTGGCACTTGAGGAGGCATTTAAGCTCTTTGTAAGTGAATAATTTCAAGCAACAGTCTTTTTTTTTACACTGATCAAAGTTATAGGTATTGACATGCAAAAATGTTTCTATTACATATATATAATGTAAGAAACTGACTTAAAATGATTTTTTTTTTAATCCATACAATGCTCAATAATACTGAGAATTTGTTGCTAATTAATGTTTGATCAGGTTCTGTGTAGGTAAAATCAGTTTGAAAGGAAATACCCAATATTATTTACAGAAGATTTTGTGTTGTTCATTTTGTTTCCGTGAAATATTTTACCTACAGGAAAATAATGATGCCAAGACCCTATGTAATAAAGCCATTATGCTGATCACGGATGGACCAGCAGAAACATACAGAGAAATCTTTGACAAGCATAATTGGCCCAATAAAACTGTGAGTGGATAGAATGGGTCTCGAGGCAAAAGTACAAATTTTTATGGTCTCAGTCATTTATTAGTCTCTCAAAATGCAGAGTTGTGATTTCCTCTGGGAAATAACTATGAAAATCATAATTATCATGAATTTTTTTGAGAAGAAGCAGTCTGCTATGGTTTGATTCATAAAGAGTGTTTTGATGATGGGGTGTGTAGAATTATTCCCCAGAGAAGGTCATTACTTCTTGGTCTGGAAAATGTTTAGCCAAGTCAAAGAATACAGGCTGACATCAGAAGAGTGGAGAGGGGAAAAAATCCATTTATAGAAATATCTCTTCATCAATGAATTTCGCAACTCTAAATTATTTGCCATTTGGGATGAAAATTTGGCAACTATAGATAAATGAAACAAATAGAGGGGTGCTAGATATTCATTATTGATGTTGTCATGCAATATATGGCTGCCAGGAGCCTAGACAGATGCCAAGTAAAGCACCAATAGCATGCTTACAGAATAGAAAATAATGGGATGTATAGTTAACCAAAAAGCCATGTTTCATAAACTGAATGTATGCTCTGAAATTACGTCTATAGAAACACCTCGAGATTTATGTTATGACACTTTATAGACACCAGAAGCTTCTAAAGAAAAAAGAATGAAGCTAATTTCTAGGGAAAATTATTGCACTGTCATGCCACTTATCTTTTAAACATTTAACAACCTTAAATATTGATTTGAAGGTGAGACTGTTCTCTTTTTTGGTCGGACGAGAAGTGAAGGAGAATAGGTATGCCAAGTGGATGGCCTGTGCCAATAAGGGTAAGAATTACTCAACATACCCCATACCCCAAATAATGGTAAAGATATATAAAGTTGTCAAAAATCTTACCCCAACTCCAGTAAGGGTTAAAACTGTATTACAACATATTCCCCTACTCCCCCCCCCCTCCCCACTCTATACATGGTACTGGATACTTCTGGTATGAATAGGGGCCTTAGCTGACAAATGAGGGTAGGAATGGAATTAAGTAAGAAACCCCCACAGTCATACAATGAAGGGTACACAATGCCCCCTCACCATTTCAATTAGGATTTGAAAATATTAGGCCTTGAAGGGCAGCATCTGGCAAACAAGATTAGAGTTTAATAACCTTGGATACTGTCGTTCAGGGAACACTTCATATAAAATGTATTTATCCAACAAGAGCACGTCTTTGTGAGCATCAAGAAGAAATTTTTTTTTATTAATTATCTCCTGAATTAGCGTATCTAGGGTTACATTAAATATTCACAGAATATTGATTCTTGTATATGAATAAATACTCATTTATAATATAAAATTTTTGTTAAATTTAAAATTTCTTTTCCCTATAACTCCCATAAGTTTTGAATTTTTATGCGAATTAAAAATAAAATGAATTTCAGACAGCATTATGTATCTATATTACAAGTACAATTTTATGTTGAATTGTATTTGTTCATTGTTGTTTGTATAGGATACTACACCCACATCTCGACACTAGCAGATGTACAGGAGAGTGTTCAGGTATTTAATTTAACCTTTTACACTATATACTATATTTGACTGCTGTAGATCGAATTATCCAGTTTCAAACAAGCTGTTTTAGTATTAACATTTGCTGCATGATAAAAATGATGCACAAGAATTGAAGTAATTCAGCACCCATCCTTGTTTCACTTCTGAATTCATTTGAGACTTAATGGCTAGGAATAAGATTCTGATCCTATACACCATGCTCACATACTGTCAACAAAGTTGGAATCACCATGACTAGAACTTAGGTGAAATTGTGTAGGGATCATGTTCTTGATGAAATCCTGACTTTTTATGCCCACCATACTTTCATAGATGAAACAGATAAAACTTTTCATTCAACATTCTTGTATATGACAATTAGTTTATTGGGAATTGATGCTAAATAGGTAGTAATTGTACCCCCTGAATTAATGTTTTGGAGGGGGTGGGGTGGGTGTCTATGAAAATTGCCTCCTCTGGGGGTGGGCACATATAGAAATTGCCTATTCTGTCTATCTGTCCATCAGTCTGTAATTATGTCTGGACTCATGCATGCAATCATGTCTGGACTATAACTTTATAATGAAGAAACATTGGAATTGGAAGTCCATATTAAAATGATTACGCATTACCTGAGGGTGAGTGTCATGGCCTTTACTCAAGATCATTTGAGCAAGCTAAAGGCCACTGCAGAAATTGTTTAATTGTGTATGGTCCATTACTTTCTAATAGATAATTATTGGAAAATTATATTTTACACAAAGATTACTTATGATCTAAGGGTGTATCTTGACATTGATCCAAAGTCACTCGTACAAGTTCAAGGTCACTTTCAGAAAAATGAATAAATCCTGTCCTTGCAATATCTTATTATGGAGAGGCTTTAATGCAAGATGGCAATGAGGATTATTAAAAAGCATTTTTAAATCTGTTTGAGAGAGTTGATTTGTGGGTGAAAGGAAAACTATTTACTAAAAGTAACTTCATTAAGATGTTTGTAACATTGTTTGACCATAGACAAAATCTAACATAAGTGTTTATGCATGTTAACGTTAACTTTATATTTTACAAATATTACATTTACAAAGGTTATCTGTAAATTTGTTCATGGACAACTTCTATTTCAAGGCATTGGATTTTGTGAAATGAGGCTTATTATCAAGTTCATAGTTTACTTGTATTATATATCAATTTTCGAGAAAATGCAATAGGTAGAAAATTAATTATCAAGCATTTCTTAATTCTGATATTTCTACCTGGATCATTAAAAAAAGTCATGTGTAAGGTCAGCATATATAAAAATCCTCAGACTTTCTCAGCTTAGTCTCAATCCTTTCAGCAACACATTTTATGTGTCGTTTTATCTACAGTTGAACTTCGGTATCTCGAACACTGATATCTGCAATTCCATGGATATGTTGAAGTGATTTGGAAGTCCCAACTACTCATTTTTTAAGTATTTTACTCTGGATATCTAGAATCCTCGGATATCTCAAAGTTTTTTCTCACTCACGGTGAGTTCGAGATAACGGGGTCTGACTGTATTTTTAAAATATTTGTTCATATTGATTAATTTTCAAGGGAAAGATAACATTCATCACCTTCTGTTGTAAGTCACATTAATTTTACCCCTGCTCCAAGGGGAGGGGGGTAAACTTTTTTACCCAGCCTTGTGTGTCTGTCTGTCTGTGTGTCGCAGTTTTCTCAGCAAATGATTTGTTTTCTCTTATTGCAGATGCTTGAAATTTTACAACAATTTTTGTCTAGGCATGCCATATGGTGGGATTTATTTTTGTACGAATTCGATATCTACTTCCTATTTATCCCTGCGTCTGTCCATACGAAATTTCCATCGCAGTTTTCTCAACAACTAGTCATCCCAGATGCTTGAAATTTTAGCACACTCTTTGTTTAGGCATGCTATATGGTGGGATTCATGAGAGTGTATATTCACATCAGAGTGGGGGTATTACTAGTGAGCATTGGCTCACAGATTTTATTAAGCATTTCAAATAGAAATTAAAAGAAAATATAAATAAATAAGGTAATAGAATAAAGTTTTTATAAACTGACATTTTTGTTTTTAAAGTTAAGGAGTATCCACAAACATTACAAACAACCTTCTTACGTTAACCGATCTAAATGAAATTTTTGGGCAAGTCAAAATTGTTTATAAAATTTTGCTTATGACTAATCCTATTAAAGATTACTTCTGGATAAACTCTTGTACATGGTAAGTTTTTCATTATACTCTCAAACTCAAAGCTCTCATAGATAATTAGAACTTCAGGAAAAAAGTGATATTTCATTAAAATTGTAAATCCTGAGAAAAAGTAATACTTAACTCCACAAACAATTAAAATAAATAGAAAGTATACCCTAAGTTTGTAGTGATACTATAGTGGATTTTTATAAGAATTTTCTCAAATTAGATGAACTTGATGCCAGAACTGTCAGTTCATTTTCAGCAAAGTCTGATTTTACTCTCTAAAACAAATTGTGTCTGTAAGCTAACAACCATGTAGGCCGGCAAAAGGAATTTCTGATTACAACTTTGTATGTCATTTGTTGGTCTCTTTCTTGTGTCTCTGTGGTTTCTTCCTCAAAGGCACAAACCTGATGAGAATTATTTGTCAGATCCAAAGAGAGTGTGGTGATCAGGAAGGAATTTATTTTTTCTTTTATGAAGTTGCCAATATAGCAAAAAATATCTGTATCACAATGCAGTCACAAAATCCATGACAAAGTAATTACTGCTTGTAAACTACTGAGATTGATAGAGAACATACGACTTTTATTGAAAATGTTAATACAGTTATCTCTTGAACTCAAGAGTAAGCAGATTTTATATGCAAAATGGAAATTTGACTTTAAATGTACTTCAAATAAAAAAAAAATGAAAAATTTTGCTTTTTAGATGTTTTTATTTTTGAATTCAATAAAAAGAAATGATAGTCTACAAGTATGTTTATTACTGTAACCTACACATGCATTATTCTTTTTGAGCTCTTCTAGTCAAAAATAAATTGTCAATAATATTCCATCTGTCTGTCTTTAAACATTGATTTCCAAATTCCTATCAGTTTTTAACTGTCTTTCATAAAACTTGCAATTTTTTTAACCTATACTGTAGGTTCTGAAGTAAGGGGCTGAATAAATAATCATGGTATGTGGACATCGAATAGATTACCTTTTGAAATATGAATAGAATTGTCAATGCACTAATAACCACTGAGTTGCAGTCAAATCCCTATTGGACAAACATACTTTAATTGTATTTATTTGGCATGTGTATGATATTTCGTGGAAATTGATTTTTCAACAAGTTAGCATTGATTTGATTTTGTGTCTTCAGATGTGCTTTATATGAATAAATATCAAAAGAAATTTAGTATGGACTTCATTTAGCAGAAGCTGCTTTCCATGAAAGGTGCTAAAGAGAATACACAGCCAAAATGTAATACCATAAAGTACATGTAATCCATCATGGAAATTTTGTTTTTAATGTGCCTTAACTGTGGCTATACTGTTTCAGTATTATCTACGTGTGTTGAGTCGGCCAATGGGGATAGCCAGTAAGGAGGGAAGTCTTCCCAGAATCCCTAAGTGGACCCCAGTATATGCTGATTATTCTACGGAGGTGTCTCAGAATTTAAGAAAGGTATATCATGAAAAATGTCACACATACCAATAGGTCACATTTATGTATACTTTGCATTAGGTATTATATTTAATTAAACTTCAACTATTTACCTATAATTACTGATTAATTACTAATTTCTATTATCATGTTATATTATAATAGCACATATTACATGCATATTAGTAAGTATTTATAGTCTGTCCAATGATACCAAAGTCATCACTTGCATTACACATGTATCTCAAAATACTTATAAATATCTGGGTTCTTAAACTTGTCAGGTTGGATTAAAACCGTCTGTTTAAATAGGAACCCTTGAGCTCAACTAGTATATTAACATGGTAAGGAATTCAAATTTCAATGGCGATTTAACATTGAAAAAATGGTTGCCACTTCGAATATAGGGATCCAACATTATTCATGATTTTCTATTGCTTAATTGCTGTCAATTATGTATAAATGATGCAGTGCATGTACGTCATACTCGGATAATCTCTGGAAATAATGACAACTTTCTTTCATGCTGTCAATGACCAAAATTTACAGTGTAGCCTACGTTTCAATAAACTTTGGAAAATTGTGTCATATGTGTTTCTTTCAAGTAGTAGATATGCAGTCTGGCTAAAGATGATTTGGAAATGATGAAACTTTAATGTTTAATGAAATTTTATTTGAAAACAAATCAAAATTAATTTCTTTTGAAATATGGTTAAAGCGCTCATTTGGGACAGACTATTATAAACCCTGGTAATTTTTTGTACATCTATGTAACTGTATATCAGCAATGTAAATTATGAAGTTAAATGTTTAAAGTAAATTTATATATATGTTTGTATATTATTCATTTAGTTCATATAGGATCTATTGTTTTTTGTGTTTACTATCATTCTTCCTGCAATATATTGTAAGTTTTTAATTCTTACAGGGAGTTGGATTGGTCACTTCTGTGTCTATGCCAGTGTTTGACACCAGCAATACATCAGTAAGTAAAAGCTAGACCATCTGTAAAAAAAAAAAAAAAAAAATGACAGGAAAAATTTGTCTCTATGACACTCCGCAATATTTACACAATTTTTTTCCCTGATCATGCAGTTAAATGAACTAGCAGAGAAAATCACTTTCTGTAAAATGTTGTTGTATAGTAGTAATTATAACTTGAAGTCTTGGCTGTACACTCCGCCTGCATCTTCTGTCTGTCTTTTGATTAAACATGATCAATCTTGCGTCTTTTGGAATTAATTACCACACCTGATGAGACTGGTCGTTAACCTTGTTTTGGTACATATTAAAGATAAAATAACACCTTGACCTTGGGGTATTGAATGATTTGAAGTTAATTTGTCTGTGATGGATTGTCATCATTATAGCTCAAGGTTTTTCAAGGATGACCCATTTAAGGAATTTTCAGGAAAATTTCAAATAACAGTGAAAACTTTACAATATTTGGAAAAAGGTTTCACATTGACCATATACAATTTTAAAAAAAAATCTTAATTCCAGTCTGTCCATTAGAAGAACAGAGTTCAGACATGTTTCACCCACATGTAAATTTAATGTTTTTGGATTGTCAAATTTGCTGATACATATATATATCTGGGGTTGATGAAGGATGTTTGATCAGTATTTTTAGGCCACCTGAGTTTACTCAGGTGACCTATTGCTGTCTGTTTTCATCCGTCGGCGTTTGTCATTCGTCATCTGTTGTGTGTTAACATTTGAACATTTTCAGCTTCTTCTCTGGAACCACTGAACCAATTTAAAACAAATTTGGCATATAGCATCTATGTGTGAAGGGGAGTAAAAATTGTGAAATCCATGACCCCTACCCCCCTGGGACCTGAGGGATGGGACTAAAACCATCAAAATTTATGCAATCTTTAAAAATCTTCTTCTTTACTCCTGGACGTTAAGCAGGCAAAATGTTGGCATGAATGTAATAAGCATTGAGCCCTCTACCTAAATTGTGAAATTCATGACCCCAGGGTCGGGGTTCTGGTGCTAGGGCAGGGCTGTTGAATATGTTGTGATAATGCATTATTTCTTTATAAAAAGCTTCTTTTCTGCTCTTGGATATCATGAAAACAAAATAAATACATAGTTATGATGATGAAAGGTGCCTCTTCCAAAATTGTGAATTTCATGGCCCGAAGGGTCAGGGGTTCTGGTGTTAGGGCAGGGCTCTGTTGAATATATAGTGAAAATGCATTATTTCTTTAAAAATCTTCTCTGATCCAGGGCAAACAGACTGAATGCATAGCTATGATGAGTAAGGGTGCCTCTTCCTATATTGTGAATTTCATGGCTCCTGGTCAGGGGTTCTGATTTTAGGGCGGGGCTTTAATGATTACATAGCAAAAAAGCAATAATTCTTTGACAACCTTCTCCTTTTCTCCTGGGTATTAAGCCGATGAACTAAGAGTATAGTTATGATATGTAAGGGTGTCTCTTCCAAAATTGTGAATTTTATGGCCCCTGGGTCAGGGTTCTGGTGTTAGGGCAGGGCTCTAATGATTACATAGTGAAAATGCATTAATTTTTTGATAATCCTCTGCTCTCTTTCTGGGTATTAAGTAAGCTTACTAAATGCAAAGTTATGATGAGCAATGTGCCTCTTTCGAAATAGTGAATTTCATGGCCTCTGGTTTAAAACACGAATCCATTTTAATTGTGGCAAAGTTGTTGCATGATACTCAGGTGACCTATAAGACCTGTGGGCCTCTTGTTGTATAAATTTTGTAAATCAAGTAGGAAATGGTATTTGTGTTCTGCAGAATGTCTGAAAAATAGTATAACAGTAACATTCTTATTTCTCCAAAAGATGATAGTGAAAATTTGTAATTTGATAACAGTTTTTCAGTGTATTCATTTTTTTTTGGCTTGTGAAATTGAGGTACATTTATGTAGTATAACCTACAAAGCGCAGTGATAAAGTAAACTCTGTTGTCAACCTAAAATAATGACTATGTATCATTTCCTCAGACAAGTAAAGGAAGTTTGCTTGGTGTGATGGGGACAGATGTACCAATCCAAGAAATCAAAGACCTAGTGCCTAAAGACAAACTGGGAGCAAATGCTTATGCCTTTATGTATACCCACCATGGATATGTGCTGTTTCATCCCAATATGAAACCCATGTACCAGAAAACAGTAATGTTTTACTTCTTGATTTGATCAGCTTCATCTCATAAGATATATTTTAGCTCATTCTCTGATCTTAGTTGAGTCAATCTGCCTTTATGCTGGTCAAGCGGAGATAATTTTAAAAAAAATAGCAAAAATATGGTGAGATATCTTTTGAAAATCATTGAGACTCCTCTTACTTTTTAAGTGGTAGGCAAAAATTTCATTAGTGTATGCATAGCCTCAATCTTCATTGAGGTTACAAGAAGGATTTGGAATTTTGATCAACTAATAGCTTCTTAAGGATGAAGAAGGGTATGGTTCTTTATAAGAGATTGCAGCAAGAAAGTTTGGGTCAAGAATTTTAATTTTAAAAATACTATTATGGAATATTTATGCTAAGATTGCAGAAGTACAATGTAGTAAGAATGATGTAAGTAAAACACTTAGGCTTATCTTTTAGAAAATGTATTCTCCAGTAGCTATAATTTAAAAAATATTGAAGAGGATGACACTAAGGTATCAATCCTGATTTGGATGCAGCATGTGACCTGTATTTTTAGGATGAACAAGTTCAAGCTTCTAGTAGAACAATTCCTAAGTATATAAGTCTTACATTGATTGAGTTGCATATATAGTATTACTACAGATAAAGACATTGTTACAGATAATTACATACAAAGTTTTTAGCTCACCTGAGCCAAGTGAGCTTTTCTGATCAAAGAGTGTCAGGTGTCAGTCTGTCGTCTACCATCTGTAAACTTTTCACATTTTCTACTTCTTCTCAGGAACCACTGGGCCAATTTCAACCAAACTTGGCAAAAAGCATCCTTGGGTGAAGGGTATTTAAGTTTGTTCAAATGAAGGGCCACATTCTCTTTCAAGGGGAGATAAATAAGAGTGAAAATTTAATGACATCTTTTAAAAATCTTCTCAATAATAACAGGGCCAGAAAAGATGAAACTTATGTGAAAGCTTTATTAAATAGCAAATACGTATTCAATTTGTTCAAGTCATGATCCACCGGGGGAAGGGCAAGGCTAAAATAGCTGATCAAATTTTTTCTCCAGATTATATCAGAAAAATCTTTAAAAAGCTTCTTCTCAAGAAAAGCAAAGCCATTGATTAGTCATATTTATATGGATCTGAAGCGTCCTCAGGTAGTGTAGATTCAAGTTTGTTCAAATCATGAGGTAGGGTGGGACTACAGTGGGCGATCAAAGTTTTACAAAGGAATGCATCTTTTAAAATCCTCTCAAGAACAGCAAAGCCATGATCAGCAGTCATGGAAGCATCCTCAAGTAGTGTAGATTCAAGTTTGTTTAAATTATGACCCCTCCCCTGCCCCCCTAAGGGGCCACTTGTATAGGTATTTAAACTTTTCAATACTGAACTGATTTCTCCTTTTCTCTAGCCGAAGTGCTCAGGTGAGCCATGTGGCCCATGGGCCTCTTGTTTGGTTTTGTGATGTGATCAAACAGTTTGCTCATGTGTTAATTAAAATTACAACCTGAACAAACTGTTACATCAAAAAAAGAAATAATCCAGACAGTTATTCCTCGTATTATACTTTCATGTCAATTAAATGAAGAACTGCGAACGATAGTATTGTTCTCCCGCCTACCTCCAAGTCAATTTTCAAAAGTTAAGATATTCGAATGATTTTGAATATTTATATTGATATTTATATTGATTTTCATAAAACATTACTTCTTCGGGAAAACATCGAGAGATAACTCTAAAATTTTGGTAAAACTCGTGTTTTTCACTATAGAAATCAACGGAAAATATTTTTAAAACATCTTCCCCCCCCCCCCCCCCCCCCCCCCCCCCCCCCCCCCGGTGAAACAAAAATTCCTTTTTACAGGTAATATGGACTGTCATTTCACAAATTCATACCAAAGCTTTTTGTGTTTCACGGGGGGAACATATGTTTATATACAAAAATTGACAAAAATGCTTATTTTTTCAGCAATTTCCAAGTACGTGCTTTACAACTGAAACATTATATTTTACTAATATATATGCTTAATTTTATATGCATAAAACATAAGAAAAAGATTTAAGAAACATTTATTCATATCCAAGACTATTTCAGAATATGGTGATGTTTTATAGCCCGATTTCAGTGGAAAATATTGTCTACCCCCCTTATTTCAAGAGCTAGAATTAGGGATATTTTACTATTTAGCACTGGAATTAAAATAATTAATCAATTACCATTGAACTGTTCTTTGTATTAAACAAAGATTTTATGGCCAAATTGTCATCAATATTGAATTAAATGGTTGAATGTGAAATGTAGGCGGGAATCGGGAGATACCATGCATAGTTTTTTGTTTCTTTGAAAAACATAATTTGTTTAAAAAAAAACACTTAACCCAGGGTTAGAAATAATTTTTTTTTTTCACTGGTCACTCGGGCTATCACCTTAAATTTTTACTGGTCAACTCAGTACTTTCACTGTCCACTGGGCCAGCAGATTTAAAAAGACGGACCCAAAACCATAATAATAATAGTAATAGTTTGTTTATATTGTGTTACTTAATAGTACAACTTAACAACAAGAAATGACAGAACTTGGAAGCATAACCCTGTCAAGTTAACTAGCCCAACCATGAATGAATCTTGTTATGCATAAAAAAAACACTGGCCCAAAGGACACTTGCCCTCTACAATGTACTAGCCCAGATTGAAAATTTACTGGCCCCAGACCAGTGGGCCATCAATTATTTCGAGCCCTGCTTAACCTCTGAATGATGAAACCAGGCCCTCCAGTGCAATAGAACTTAATTAGCAACAGTCAACATTGCTTGACGATGAGTGATTACTGATATTCTAATAAATTATTAACTGCAAGGAATCTATGTACGCATGCTTCACCTTTATTTGTATTAAACATTTAGTATTATAATTATAATGAATACTCTGTGTAGTTGAGGATAACGTGGAAAATTTTCACCCCAAGAAAACCTAGGTTTAATGATGTACAGCCTTGGTTGACAATAGTTTACTTGGGGTGAAAACTTTCAATGTTACCCTCAGCTGCATGTATATGCAATATTTATCTATTTTCATTTTAACTTGATCCTTGGTTCGATTAAAAAAAAAAAGATATATACAACAACATTTTTGTTCAATTACTTGAAATTTAATTCTGCAAGCCCTGCCCAGTATATTACTAGACACAGCGAGAAGGCAGTTCTGTCACATCAGCAAATGACTTTACGAAGATATAAAGCTATTTCCTTATTTGTAGGTTTATCTCAGACAAAGACATTTAAAACTGTAAATAAGTAATTACATTTACTGTCTGATGTAAGTAAAAATCCAAAAATTATGTACTGAACAGGCTAATTTTTCCTGCCAGTTCTGTCAGTATCTTGATTACTCTGTATAATTATATATTTTAGTATAGTACATGTATTTGTATTGATATGGTCAATGTCATTTCAGATAAAATATGGCCATAGGGAGGAACATAAAAAGGTAGATATTTATGTATACTTAACTATGTATTTACAGTCAAACCTGCATCAAGCAACATATCAAGGAAAATTATAAAATTATAAAATGATCACATATGACAGGGGTCTCTTATTGCAGGGAACCATATTCTACTTATGTTCAAAGTACATGCATATTAAATACTAAATAGAAATGCTAACTAACATGTACTCATTTTTCTGTTCTTTGTTCTCTATCATAGTTTTGAATCATTTTTAGCTCACCTGAGCTGAAATATGAAAACATTCATAATATTTTTATGAAACTTCATATGCTAATACATACTGATGTAACCTTTTCGACTGCACCAACATTTTTTGACCTTGACCTTTCTTTTGACCTTAACTTCATTTATTTTAAATTAATGTTTAGCTCAGTTTTAAATAAACCATTCAAAATATTTTTTATCAAACTTAAATATGCTGATACGTATTTGTGAGAAGAATTCAACTGCATCAAAAACATTTGACCTTGAACTTTCCTGTGACCATGACTTCACTTTTCTTAGATTTGCATTTTGCTTAATTTTAAAGAAACCATTTAAGATATATTTATGTAAGTTTATGCACTTATACATAATTTGACGAGAATTTATCATCTATATCCAACTTTTTAGTTTCAATTTCAATTTTAAAGAAACTATTCAAGATATTCTCATCAAATTTCATACACTAATACAAATTTTCATGTTGCATTACTAATATACCCTCGGCGGGGCATTCATGTCCTATGGACATATTTCTAGTTTTTTTAATGCACAATGTTCACAAATTTACATTTTTAGCTCACCTGAGCCAAAGGCTCAAGTGAGCTTTTCTGATTGAAATTTGTCCATTGTCTGTTGTAGTCATCGTTGTCATCGTCGTTGTTGTAAACTTTTCACATTTTCATCTTCTTCTCAAGAACCACTGGGCCTATTTCAACTAAACTTGCCACAAAGTATTCTTGGGTAAAGGGGATTTAAGTTTTTTCAAATGAAGGGCCACGCCTTCTTCCAAGGGGAAATAATTATGAATTCATGAAAAATTAATGACATCATTTAAAAATCTTCTTCTCAAAAACCACTGTGCTTGAAAATATGAAACTTACATGGAAGCATCCTCAGGTAGTGTAGATTCAAGTTTGTTCAAATCATGACCCCCGGGTGAAGAAGGCGATCAAAGTTTTACATAGTAATACATAGGAAAAATCTTTAAAAATCTTCTTCTTAAGAACAGCAAACCCATGATGGGTCATACTTATATGGAAGCATCCTCAGGTAGTGTAGATTTAAGTCTGTTCCAATCATGACCCCCGGGGGTCGGGTGGGGCCACAATGGGCGGTCAAATTTTTACATAAGAATATATAGGGAACATCTTTAAAAATCTTCTTCTCAAGAACGGCAAAGCCATGATTAGTCATATTTAAATGGAAGCATCTTCAGGTAATGTAGATTCAAATTTGTACAAATCATGATCCCCAGGAAAATAGAGGGGCCATAACAGGGGGTCATACAAAGGAATACAAAGGATATATCAATCAGGTGAGCGATGTGGCCACTGGGCCTCTTGTTTTCCAAAGCATTTCAAAGTTATAATCTGTAATATTACTACTTTTAATATGTTTATTATTGTAATACATTCTATTTGAAACTAAGTCCCACATTGTGAAATATTCCATTTAAAGTATCTCTCTGCAAATTGGAGGGATGGTACAAATACTAAGCACTTTATAACTTTTGTTATTGAAAGCAGACCTGAAAGTTGCTTAATTTAGGGTCTTGAACTGCTTTAGGTTGGAAAATAACGGTTGCATGTCGCATTAGGCAGAGAGTTACTGAATGCAGGTAAAATATTATGGAAAATTCTTGGGAGGAAATTTAATGATCGCATTTGACAGGAAGTCACTAAATATAATTGGTCACTAAAACAGATTTGACTGTATATGAATTTTTGAGAACTTCCTACTGAAGATTAATTTTAACCTGTGGTAAAGGTTCAAGTTTCTATATTTTTGCAATATTTGCTATCAAAGTTTTAGCTGTGTTTTTTTAATTAATTTCAAGCTTGCTTTGGTCAAGGACTTATTAAGATCAGTGTATCTGATTTTAAGCTCATCTGAGCCAAAGGCTCAAACTGAGCTTTGTGATTGAAGTGTACTGTATGTTCTTAACTTTGGAGTGTGGCATCTGTAAACTTTTCACGTTAATATGTTAACTTCACCAAAACTACTAGACTAATTTCAAACAAACATAACACAAATCCTCCTTTGCTACATTTTTTTTTGTTTTTTTTTTTGTTTTTTTTTTTTTATGAGGTTTAAAATAATATACTTAATTAAAATTAAAGATTGTACGTAATGTTATTCTCTCTACTGTACAGAATGAAACATCAGAACATAAAAAAGAGTTTCGTCCCTTTTACAACACCATTGATATAACAGAGATGGAGTATGCTGTCAATCACACTGATTTACATAAAGTAGGTGCCCTTATTTTACACTTGTACATTTCTAGAATAACATTACAGAATAAGGGGGGTTGTCGAGAGAAAGTAACCAATTTAAAAAGTACATTATCAATCTAAAAATTTTAATGAAAAAAAACACTTTATGCATGCTTATACCTAGTATATGAAGGTAAGTTGCAGGTGGGGGTTAGATATGGTGTCTTGCAGTGCTGTCTCTAGTGGCTTCCTGAAATGTATTAGTGACTTTAAAGCCAAGATTTTAATTCCCACATCTGGACAACAGAAAGAAACTTTGATGATGCTAGCAGATAGTCATGCACTCTCCATTGCAGTTGTCTTTTGTTCCTCTTTAGACACTGCAATGGGTTTGCATCAAAATTTTGACAGAGAGTAACAAAAAATTGTATTCTAAGGATTAATTCAAATTAAATTACTAGTAATTTTGACAGAAAGTAAAGAAATGATATTCTAAGAATTAATTTAAATTCAGATCTACTTCGTAAATATCTACCTTAAAAGACAAACATTAGAACAAGCCTTTAATTATATTGAGTTAAAACAAATGCACTATTTCTCGTGTTTATCACTGTGATTTATGCGAGCCAATGACAGAGGTGAATGTATGAGCTGATGGCAGAGATCAGCAGATAGTCTAAGTTAAAGACTTTTGGAAACACTTAAGGTTCATTGATACTCTGATAAGAGAGATAACTCTACAGGTATAAATGACTTTTATTCCTTTATTAAATTGTCAAATTAACAGACCATTTCTGTCAAATTATGCCATGCAAAGTGTGCTGAAATTGTGTGCATTTTAATTATAAATTAGATTTCTTTCTGAAAAAATCATAAGCATTAAAGCAAAATTTTATATGAATGAGCAGAGGGATGCAGAATCTTAAGGTTCATTTAGACTTCTAAATAAAGGTCTGTGTTTTCTCTTTTTATGGTAAATGCCTCATCAAGATCCCTCACTCTGTATTATGTGGAAAGTGTAAAGTATTAGATAATTATAGTATTTACGTGATAATTGTTTGTTTTATGAATTTAATTTTTACCCTATCTATGGAGCTGTATCTCAGATTTATAGTTATTTATACAAATGATCATTCAATTTTGTTTTCAGTACTGAAAAGCTAAAATTGATATTAATGAAATTTTATGAAGGACTATAGAATAGATGTTTACTGTAAATTTTTTATTGACTGTACGTAATCTTTTGTGTTAGTATCTTTTTTTTTTAAACTAGTCTAATGGTGAACTAAATAGTGTTGATAGATAAATGTATATTTGTGAAATATCTTTTCTTTTCATTTTCACAACTTATGTGACAATTGAAATATTCATAATTGTTTGATACAATTTTGTTGTGATGTCAAACAGTTTTTTTTTTCTTTTTGATGTATATAAAAAATGATGATGACTCATAATCCTATGTGTTGTGTTCATTTAGACCAACACCATCATATGCATTCATAAGATATGTTTAAATGTTTTTTAATGCGATCTAGTAACACATTTTTTTGGTGAATTTATGTGATAAAAGGGTCCTTGCTATGAAAATTGAAAATATTTATAATGCTAGGAGTACAATGGACAATACTACAGAATTATAATCACACAAATTCCTCAGCCCTTTTATCCATATCTTACAAGAATGATTAAATCTTGGTGAAAGTTTTGCTAAATAAATCTGTCCCCTATTTTTTTTCATAAGAAACCAGAATTGCCTCCACCTAGAAAGATTGTCATCATAGTTTATCCTGTCTCTGATAAACATCTTGAAATCTCATTGGTCGAGAGGAATACTATATAAAACCATATACTACTAGTGTACATGATTTAGTTCATATCACCCTCCACCTAACCTGCTGACAAGACATCAGTTCCATATATCTTTTGAAAATTGTCTCATGGGCCATGGCTGTTAGATTGTACTTGGGTAAAGAAATTCAGAATTATGTTTTTTGCCAATGGCAGTAATTTGTTTTCGGTTATAAAAGTTGAAAGTAATTTCTCAAAATGTGCATAGAAATAAGTCTGGTCAAAGAGTTCTGTGTGTCTTATTTATAAATGCCAAAAGAGCCAAAATTTCTTTGTTACAAGTCAGTGTCATGCATAATCATGTTTCGAATAGGGTGGACCAATATATAATAGACCATTTATTATCCAATACCATATAAGGAATAAAAATCTTCTTTGACAACATATCTGGCCATAAGCCAGTCACCAAAAGGGATATTAGGATTGCTGATTAAATATATCAGACCCTGACCTAGCTCTATACAAATTTATCAATGAAGTCCCTTATAGCCCCAATATGGATGTCCTTCTGGGGTCAAAAAGACTTTTTTGTGGTTTATTGTACACATAGGATTATGAGATCATTTAAGCAATCATATAACCACAACAAATACCAAATGACATCTCAATACATGTGCATGTTTCAAATTTTTACAGTCATATCTGTAAGTTTCCTTAAAGGATTAACTTTTTATCAAACAATGTTAAAGATCTTTCAAATTGCCTATTTTAAGTGTTCTTTAAAATGGTTTCAGTTTCGACAAAAACTACTAAGTGCCTCAAACAGAAGGAAACCTATCCGCCTTAAAGTGAAAGTGCCTTATGACAGGATGGTAAGTTGTACTAACACACCCAATGACAGAATGGTAAGTGGCACTTGTACACCTTATGACAGAATGGTAAGTGGTACTCACACACCTTATGACAGAATGGTAAGTGGTACTCACACCAATGACAAAATGGTAAGTGGCACTCGCACACCTTATGACAGAATGGTAAGTGGTACTAACACACCCAATGACAGAATGGTAAGTGGTACTCACACACCTTATGACAGAATGGTAAATGATACTCACACACCTTATGGCAGAATGGTAAGTTGTACTCACACACTTTATGACAGAATGGTAAGTTGTACTCGCACACTTTATGACAGAATGGTAAGTTGTACTCGAACACTTTATGACAGAATGGTAAGTTGTACTCACACACTTTATGACAGAATGGTAAGTGGTACTCACACAACTTATGACAGAATGGTAAGTGGTGCTCACACAACTTATGACAGAATGGTAAGTGGTGCTCACACACCTTATGACAGAATGGTAAGTGGTACTCACATACTTTATGACAGAATGGTAAGTGGTACTCACACACTTTATGACAGAGTGGTTACTGAGCAGAAAGAAGCATTCTGTTATTCATTATTTCAATATGCTTCAGGCAAATCAAAGTAATTTATGTGTGTGCCAACTGCATTCAATTTAGTACTTAACTGATTTAATATATATGCATTTGATGTTCTTAAATTACCAGATTAATGTGATCTTAATGGAATGTGTTTAGATTAACTGTGTTGGAGACAAAAATTCTGATGTGTCATAATTGGTAATACATGAAAATTGTAGATTATTGAGATAAAACTTGACACTATGGTGTATTTTGTCATTGTAGAACAGAGTGGAAGTTGTTGATCATTTATATTATACTGCCTCCATAAAGGGAACTCCTTTCAAGTAAGTACTGCTGTGTCTATACAGAAGTCAGATGTTATTAGTAAAGTGTTGGTGTCATAGGAGGTGCTGATGTAAAAATGGACCTTAGCTTTATTGTCATAAATCCAAATCCTGAGTTTAGATATGTCAATTCATGGTCAGGTTGTTAAATTGCCATATTTTATATGGAATACAATGCCTAGGCTATCTAATTTTTTTGTGTTTTTCCCCCAACAGAATCGCCCTTGCCTTGCCATCATATAGTACCAAACTCATGCTTAAGAAATTTGACAGTGTCTGTGCTAAAGGTGAGTAGATATACATTTTTATCATGCAAGTCTAGTGTATAAATAGTGACAAAGATCTTGAATAATTATTTATTATCGAGCTCATCTGACACAAAACAAAACTTTAAATGATTTCCCTTCTCCCATGATATTTTCAAACTAAGAGTTGGACCTCTCAAAATCTAAAACAAGATGTACCTCAAAGAAAATATTGGATCACAAATTTATTTTGTGAAAAGGTCTTCAAGTTTAATCAATTTGGCTTTGAAGAATTGCTCAGACATGAGATTTTTGGCAGCTGGAATAATTGTTTTTAAAACTAAAGAAAGCATAAAATGAACATAGAAATGTGTAAATTTTATAAACCATCTTCAAAGAGAGAGTTGTAAATGTTCATTATAATGAGTCAAGGCATAATGACAGTCTTCTACAACAAAAATTTGATTCCAAGCGTGAATGCATGCATTTCCATGTTTTTAAGAATCCAGAAATTTGTCACATCTGAGTATTTCGAATCACAAGAAGAATTCCTCAGACATATCCACTCTCTGTCAGTGATAAGGGAGATAAATATTTGATGAAAACTTGACACTGATTGTATAGACGTAAGTCACGTTAGCAAAGTTTGGACTCAGCTTTGCTGACTTGAGATTCTGTCACTAATGTCATCTAATAAAAATAATAATTTGTAATTGCAGTTGGAAATAAACAAAAAGAATATGAATTTGCACCTTGGTAAGTTAATGTAAATTGTTAATTCATTTGAAATGTACTGTGTAATGGGGAATTTTTTTTTATTCAAAATATTTTTTAGTTTGAATGAAGGGATTGGAATAATGTTTTTTTAAATTGCAATTTTTGGAAATTAAAGTATTAAATAACTATTACAGTTACATAAACTGACCAACCCACTTGTACAATATGCATACTTGATGTTTTATCAAGAATTTAATTCCACAGTAAAGATTTAATACAAAAGAAATCAGCATCACAAAATTTTTTTTTTGGTTCCAGGCGTTACTGTGGGAACAATGAGAGTTTACAAGCTACAGGTCTGGACAGAAAACTGAAGATACTTGACCTCTATAAATGTGTGGACGGGAAAGGCAAATGTAAGAATAGGGCTTAATTCATCAGTTAGACATTGTTATGTGCTGTATGTTGAAATCTCTATGTCTAGGCAGATGAAAAATTTGTTGGAAAGGATGTTTTTTTTTGGGGGGGGGGGGGGGGGGGTGTTAAAATTTTGGTTTTCAGTTGTAGCTAGAATTACATGAGATGAAGACATCATATATTTGTCAAGGTAAAGTGTAGACTTCTGTTTGTAATATGAAATATTCAAATGTGTAAAAGGTACCTGCATGTTTATCTATTTTATGAGCTAGGCCCAAAGAAAGGCAATTTAAGGGGCTGGGTAAAAGAAAAAATACTAGGTAATATTTAGTTACTATCATTTCAGTGAAAGACCAGATGCACATTGAAAAAAAAATCACTATTCATAAAGAGAAAGAGATTTTTTTTTTTTATCAAATACAGCCAAATCTCATAATCTTGATGATTTTAGATACCAAAGTTCAACTATAGTGTGGACAATGCTGTTTCAGTCTTTAAATAAGTTCAGTGCACATGCACTAATATGCGTTATTTTCGAAGTCAAAACAAATTGATATAAAGATCAAGTTCTAAATTCTTGCATTGCAAAGGCTCAAGTTGTAAACTTGTATCTTCTATTGTTTTTGGATATATTTCTATTTTACACAAAGTTTTCCCAGATGTGTGAGCATGTCTTGACAGTACACAGCCTGCTATAATTGAACCAATCAGCAAAAATTCTTGACATATGCTGTATGAAAATACTTGGTTAATTACAGCTGTGTTTAGTAAATCCCTTGCATGTTTATTCAATAATTGTAGGTCAAGACCAGGACAGCATTTTATACAGTGACCTTCTGATTCACCATGATATGATGAAGTATAAAATCGCTGATCAATCGGACTACAGATTTAAAATCGCTAATGCCCTGCAGACAGGGAGGTAAGACAGACAAGAAAAAGTGTATTCACAGGAAACATATAATCATATCTCAAAATCTGTATTATCCGTGACAGTAAATATGTTTGACTGTGATTATAGATTTATAACAATGGTCAGAACATACCTCATCTCTTCAGGTCATAATTAAATGATATTATGCCAACAGAATTTGATGATAGAGGAATTTAAATGCTTTCACCAACAGTGATATTTATACACCCTGCAAACAAAGTTTGGGGGGGGGGGGGTATGTTGGAATCGGCATGTCTGTCTGTCTGTAGACATGATTTTGTCCGGATATTTTCTTGGAGACTACTGCATGGATTTGTCTGAAAATTTGTACACTCATTACTCTCTATATAAGGATGTGCACCTGATATTTTCATCATGATTGGACATTTATTTTTTATTTTACAGAGTTTTTTTTCATTTTCTCAGACTTAGTCATTTTGAATTCATTTAGATTTAAGATATACAATCAAGATATTGCCAGTTGGTACACCTGTAAAAAAAGGTGAATTGCAGCTAAAAAATAAGTTCATTAACACTTATAATATCACAAAGTATTTAAAGAGTTTCAGTTTTGCCATTATAAAGGATGGTTTATGGCTAAAACAGTAATAGTTTTATCACTAAATTTTGAATATTTCAGTGAATGAAAATTTTACCACTCAATATTGAAAGCATGCATAGAGCTATAGAGGGGGTAGGTGGAGTCAGGGGGAGGGGGGTATGAACCCCCTGGAATTTGTTTTTCCAGGGGGTTGGGTGTTGGAAAAATCAGACTGAAGGGTAAGCGGTGATAAGACCATGATATAGACTAGACAAACAATGTAGATACAATGCTGTACCATCAGTCAAAATCTTCACTGTTATAAGGTATCATGCACTTTTATCAGTTACTTCCCTTGAGTCCTATATGAATCTGTTTTATTTTTACAGTGAGTACTCCTATGGACATGATTATAAGAAGTTCTATGACAAGTAAGACAAATATTTATCAAGTACTTTCTGAAATTTACAGAAATAGGAGAAAAATTTCATGAAATCAATATGTCTTTACTAAGTGTTAAATTGTTATCCAGATTGCTGTAAAAATACAAGTTTGAGCTCTGCTTGTGGTAGACCTGAAGAAAAGTGTCTTTGATATGTTCTTCTTACTCTCTGTTATTCTATATATTCTATAAACGATTTTTTGAAATGTTACTTCTGATGTTTTGATCCAATATTAAAAAAGTAGACTACAAGACATGCTATTCTTTTTATCTGTTTTTAATTTCTTTGAATGGTGTTGCCATGGTTATGGCTATAAATATAATGATTTGTGAAAATCTTTTAAAAGGCCTCTCCTTCCACAGCTTTGATCTGATTTCAATAAAACACGATACAAAAGTAGACTAAAACTAGAATTCTTACCATTGCAAGCAATAGCATACAGTACAGCTCACGAGTTTTTTCCACCCCACCGTGGAAAACACACGGTGGAAAATACCCTGTGTACATGGAGTTCCACCGTGTGCGTATATTGCGATTACACCAAAGACGCACCGTGGACATTACCTTTTCATCGTTTCATCGGGTGGCCCTCCGTGTTCCACCGTGCAAGAAAATTTCGGAAAAAAATGGTTTGTTTATAAAATTAATTTTAGAATTGAAATCATAGGTATGTTGGTTTAATTGCTAGAAAGAAAAAGTAAATGAAAAATTATTTAATTCAAACAGCTCACTATCATACATGTAAGGTCGTGACATAACTGCGGCGTTCAGTGTAGACTTTTGTTCACCGTTGACGGTATACATGTATATATCAATTGAATAAATTTATTTTAATTTCTGTTGAATTCATATTTCATATTCATTTGAAAACCAAAACAACTACATGTCGATTGTGCAAATTAATATATTTCTGACGTAAGCTATAAGTGCGCAGGTACAAATCCAAGTACAAGTACATTGTCTTTGAACTTAATAATTATTCAATGCCAGACATAGATACAGATCGATAATTTTAGTTGTTTTTTTCTCTGTGAAATAATATGGTATTAAAGGTATTGACAGTAAAGGCATTTACAAATAGTACCTATGATGTCGGATAACTAATTAAGCATCATCTGATCACTACATCGTAAATAATAATAGTGAAAAAAAAAATGTTGAGTCAGTATATTATGATATTCATATGGTATATGAATAAAGTCTTATTTTGCAGAAATAAAATAAAAAGTGTAGACCACTTATCAATCATGATCAATGAAGATACTAAGTTGCTACATGTGAGGAAGAAAAAGTACATGTACATGCAAGAAAAAAATTTAAAGCAAAACACATAGCATTCAGTAAAAAATCTTATACGCAGTTTGGTAGTCGTACAATCGGCTAATTCACATGAAAATAAAGCAGTTGTATGCATCCATTGATTAAACTTGAATTAAGAGACATAAATGTAAAAAATTCAATGTTTGAACGTTTATTTCTGTCGAATATGTAAAGTGTCAGTATTTCTATCTGGGTATTTTTTTTTTATTACTACTTAATCTTCTACGATCAGTACGAAAAGTAAAAAAAATCGCTTGAACAGCCAATGCAGCATTCTAAAAATTCTTTTACAAATTATATACTATTCACTTTTTACGTAATAATTAAAAATTATTTGAATTCCATATTTTATAATGTTAAGATACAAGAGAGAGAGAGAGAGATTTTACTTTCAGGTTCATCCTTCTGTTCTTTTTTTTTCTTCTCATATACATATAATGTATCTCTCTTATTTTTTTTAAAGAAATTATAGTTCACCTCCAGTTTTTATTAATCGAAACAAAATAGAATCGGTGCAATTTAGGTACAAGTTCAACGCATCACACACGGAATCCACGTGCTCTACCTGTCAATCAAATACCGGATATCGACGAATTGCAGAATCTTCTCGTGTATGTATGGAGTCGCTCCTTGGCTAATATATTTCACACCTGTTCAGAAGAAAAATATATTGGGACATTCAGTTGCTGTGGCCCTTGGGACATTATTCACATGTTGAAACTCTAGACGAGTGTATACTATACACCTCAACGGGCTTCGAAACTTACACATGTCAGGAAGTTAATTGGAACTTGAAAAATAAACAACTATTAATTTATTTAATTGTTTATAGAATTTTTAGTACAGCAACATATTTTTTTAAAAAAAAAAGTTACAGTTACAAACGAACATTATTCGAATATTATTCAACTGTATCTAGATTATATAAAGTCGTTATATACTGTAACATAACTTACTGGTGAAATGAAGAAAAAAGAAATAACTCTCCATGTCGTAAAATTGTCTCTCTTTCGTTGATTTTATTTATCATTAAAATGCTATTTTTGAAAAGGATTAGAATAAATCCTTAAAAAAGCACAATAAATAGGCATATGTAAATATTGTTCTTTTTTTTTTAACATGTCCATGTAGAAATTATCCATAAAACTCATTATGGAAAGGGGGGGGGGCTGTTATTACATGTAGGGAGAGCACATATACAGTATGCTTCCTTTTATTTAATGCTTTGAAAAATCTCCGCTAGGTACTAGTAAAATATAAAATCTTCAATCTAGATTTTCATATCTCCTATGCATATGCTTAGTTGGGCAGTGAACCTATTAACAATTATAGCAGACTTTTTTTTCATACACGTTACGGAAGAAAACTGTTTGGCTTTTTACATCATTGTTTAACATAAAACATTTTGCAGAAATATCGTTTTCATTGAATAGTATCATTGGAAATTTTTTCCATTATCGACGTGATTGACAATTGTTGAGCATAATTATAACGTTTTACATCTTATCGTTTACATATTGTGATTATTCTTGGCGACAAGTTTTATGAAAAATGTTGTGCCCATAATGCTTCGATCTGTACACAAAATGCAAGTTAAATATTAAGGTTTATATTTTACACATAATTCTGAACAATTACAAACAGACACAGATGAAAAAATGGGCATCTTCAATACCTGAATATCAACATTTCATATTTTTTGATGGGCTGGGCAGAGATTTACTCATTACACAGAGACTACATCGGGTCTCATCTCAATATGGGTTCCATTACAGGACGGAAATTTCAGTCAATCTTTTCATAACTATTTTTTTTCATCCAATTTAAATTAAATTAAACAATATATTTTCTGTGTTGTATTTTGATATAGTAATTATTTACATATACACACCAGTTTCTACAGTAATTTATAATTTTAAAAAAGTACGATGGATAAGATAATCAATTGACAATTCCACATGGATTTCCTGAGCATAGTACAAATGCAGAATATTTCTTTCCTATTTTTAGGTCACCTGAGTCACTCAGGTGACCTATTGCTATCTGTTTTCGTCCGTCGTCGTCCGTCGTGTGTTAACATTTGAACATTTTCAGCTTCTTCTCTGAAACCGCTGAACCAATTTCAGCCAATTTTTGCATATGGCATCTATGTGTGAAGGAGAACAAAATTTGTGAATTTCATGGTCCCTGCCCCCCTGGGGCCTGAGGGGTGGGGCTAAAACCATCAAAATTAATGCAATCTTTAAAAATCTTCTTCTTTACTCCTGGACATCAAGCAGTCAAACTGTTGACATGATTGTAATAAGCATTGAGCCCTCTACCAAAATTGTGAAATTCATGGCCCCAGGGTCAGGGGTTCTGGTGCTAGGGCGGGGCTATATAGATCATATAGTGAAAGTGCATTATTTCTTTAAAAACCTTCTTCTCTACTCCTGGGTATTATTGAAACAAATTAAATACATAGTTATGATAAGCAAGAGTGACTCTACCAAAATTGTGAAATTCATAGCCCCAGGGTAAGGGGTTCTGGTGCTGGGGGGGGGGGGGGGGGGGTTATGTAGATCATATAGTGAAAGTGCATTATTTCTTTAAAAATCTTCTTCTCTACTCCTTGGTATTATTGAAACAAATGAAATACATAGTTATGATAAGCAAGAGTGACTCTACCAAAATTGTGAAATTCATAGCCCCAGGGTAAGGGGTTCTGGTGGTTGGGGGGGGGGGGGGCTATATAGATCATATAGTGAAAGTGCATTATTTCTTTGAAAATCTTCTTCTCTACTCCTGGGTATTATTGAAACAAATTAAATACATAGTTATGATAAGCAAGAGTAACTCTGCCAAAATTGTGAATTTCATGGTCCCTGGTTCTGATGCTAGGGTGGGGCTCTATTTATTATATAGTGAAAGTGCATTAATGCTTTAAAAATCTTCTTCTCTGCTTCTGGGTATTATTTAAACAAACTAAGTACATTGTTATGATAAGCAAGGACACCTCTTCCAAAATTGTGAAATTCATGGCCCCAGGGACAGGGGTTCTTGTGCTAGGGTGGGGCTATATAGCTCCTACAGTGAAGGTGAATTATTTCTTTGAAAATCTTCTTCTCTGCCCCTGGGTACTATTTAAACAATCTAAGTACATTGTTATGATATGCAAGGATGCCTCTTCTAAAATTGTGAATTTCATGGCCCCAGGGTCAAGGGTTCTGGTCAAAAGGTGGGGGGGGGGGGGGGGGCTCTATTGATTATATAGTGAAAAATCAAAATTTCTTTGAAAATATTCTTTTCTGCTTCTGGTTAAAAAGCAAAGAAGCTAAGTATATAGTTATGATGAGCAAGAGTGCTTCTTCCAGAGTAGTGAATTGCATGACCCCTGGGTCAGATGTGCTGGTATAAGGGTGGGGCTGTTGATAATGTAGTGAAAATGCATTAATTCTATTAAATAATCCTGTCTGCTCCTTAATGTTAAGCAGTTAAACAAAGTGATTACTTATGATGAGCAAACTTGAAACTTCTGGTCCCAGGGTGAAAGGCTCTGGTGTTTCTCGGTGGTGAAGGGGGGGGGGGGGGGAGGGGCTCTATTGATAATATAGTGAATCTGTAGTGAAAATGCATTATTTCTTTAAAAATCTTCTCTGCACTTGGGCATATCAGAGGCAAAAAGTGTAAAAGTTGTAATAAGGAAGGGTATTTTTACCAGATTTTTGAACATCTGGACCATTTGGTCAAGTGTTCTGGTCCTAGCCAGGGCTCAATTAATTTGCATTCTACTGAGAGGAGTTATTCCCCTTTGCCATTTACTTTTGATAATTAATCATTGTAAATAATGTACTTGAAAAATTAATAGAATAAGAGAATTATGCAAGAATTTTTATTGTATAATACAAAAAGTATTTTCATAGTTTTAATGATCATGTGGACTTGTAAGTAATAGATAAATGAAAATGAGACAAAAATAACTTGTCTTATTAAATGTTCATCAAAGACCAAGAGAGGCCAATGTAAGAGATTACAACAAGGAATTAAAATAGTACAAAAGCACTGATAGCTTGTTAATATACTGTATGGTGATAGTGATAAATGGGGAACAGATTTGAACCTAATTTATGAACTGTTAATGAATAGTAGACTAATTATTTTGTTGATCCTGATCACCCTATTTTTCTTGCTTTTGGGCAACAAAGCTTCACCTTTCATTTCATTTTAATACTCTATGGATCCTCTAAATTGTTGTATTGTACTCAGGTGACCATTAAGGCCCTTGGGCCTCTTGTTTTTTTAAATTTAGATTTAGCTTTTGTTTTACAAACAAAATAATCTTTAAGAAGATATCTTCCAAATAACACAAGATTGCTGACTGCATGGTAAAATTCCATCTTCGTTAAATTCATTGACATGTCAGTATAATATCGAAAGTAGGAAAATGCACGCTGCGGATGATATGCATTTCAATGATTTTTATTCTAAAATCATCAGTGAATTATTTTAAAGTCATTTCAAACCACTTAACGTTGATTAACCAGCACGATGTTCCACGGAGCACACGCACTGTGTCCCACCGTGTCGCACCGTGTGCCAGCTTAGCGCTGAAAACGAAACATCAAAGACACCGACATTTTTCAAAGTCCACGCAAAAGCGTGGACCAAGGGTCCACCGTGGCCGGTGTTTTCCGGAAGATACTCGTGAGCTGTACTGTATTTCACCACAAATTTCTTCCAACACTGCATTACTGCTGGAGTTGAAAGCAGTGTAAGGAAGTACACACAACCATTAATTAGCACAATATTTTGCAAGACTGTGCACCTTGCACAACTTTTCTATCTCTCAAGAGGAAAAGTGAACTATTACTAGTTTTAGACTCTTTACAAGACATAGCAACAAATTTTGTGCAACCAATTCGAAGTCTTGGATCATTTACCCAAGTTTGTTGAGATCATTTTTTATTTGGATTTATAATGAATATCATTATTAGTTCTTGAATTACTTTTTGACTTTGTTGATGTCATTGCAATGTTTGATTTCAGAATGGGTGTCGAATTACTGTTTTTTGCAACCAGAGGTGGTTTAACTGACTTTGTGGTAACTAAGTCACCCCAAATTAGCCCGTAAGCATTTTATTGTAGACTGTGAAAAAAGACTGTGTTTAATGCATGATAAATAGTTCAGACTGTATATATCCAGTGGTATTAATAAAGGAACACAGAAAAAATTGTTGTACAGTAGCTAACCTGAACCAAAGGCTCAAGTTAACTTTTCTGATCAAAGTTTATCTGTCATATGTTGTCTGTAATATTTGCAGATCTTTTTACTTCTTATCCAAGAGCCATTGAACCAATTTGAATCAAAACATGACACAAAGCATTCTTGGATGAAGGGGATGCAATTTTATTCAAATTTTATAGAGAGTTAATTAGAAAATAGTGAAAATCCTTTTCAAGTATGTCATTGGCAGCAAAGATGGAGCTTAGAGGAAAGCTTTTTTAGTGGATATAGATTCAAATTAGTTGAAATCTTGGCTCCTTGGGCTAGGACAAGGTTATATTTGGGGGTCAAATATTGAACATTGAAATATATAGGGAATATTTTGAAGGATCTAAAAATACGATATTGATTTCAGAAGATGAGATGCTGGATGGGAAAGGGAACAGAGTTTTTCACAAAGCAATGAAGGGGATTTAAATTTCCTCAAATGAAGAGCCACACCTTCTTTCAAGGAGAGCTATTTAAGAGATCATTTGTTGTGATCTTTAAAAAAAAAAATTTCAAGAAAAACGGGGCCAAATGTGTAAAAGCTTTCTTTTATAATATTGAAATCATTATTTCCTATGTAGCTTATAACACGAGCTTTGATTGGTTAAAAAGTCGGGTGTAAATTTCCGTACACCCAACTTGAGCCGGGGGTAAAAAACATGAAGTCACAATGCATTTTCTCTCTTTGATAAAAAGCAAATAACATGAAGTCATGATGCGTTGTAGGACATAGTAAATCTTATTGATAGCTTGAAACACAGTTGATAGGACTTGTTTACAAAGAATTTGTTTTTTACATAGGAAATAAATTCGTTATCCAGCTCCAATCAAGGGTGTATGGGGATTTACCCCGGATTGTATTCCTCAGGGTGTATGGAATACAACCTGGGGTAAATCCCCATACACCCTTGATTGGGCCTGGATAACTAATATTGCCCCTGAGACTAGGACTAAATCACAATAAAGGGTCAGAAGTTTTATTTGGAAATTTATAAGGAAAATCACCTCTTAAGAACAGCAGGACCATAATCAATCATTTTGATTTGCAAAAAACCTTATGAACGTAGAGTTTGTTCAAACCATGATGCTGGGTCTAGGGTGAGGCCACAACCTTGGAATAAAGTCTTTTCTTAAAATATATTGACATTTACCTGTACCAAAGGAGATATTCACAATGTGTAAAGCTGACACTGAGTCAGGTGAGTGTTGTGGCCCATGCATCTCTTGTTAAGTTGCTAAGTGATTTGATTGTTGTTTGTCATTAGATATTGGATATTAGATATTGATATATTAGATATTGGATATGAGATATTGATATATTATATATTAGATATTGGATATTAGGTATTGATATATTATATATTAGATATTGGATGTTAGATATTGATATATTATATATTAAATATTGGATGTTAGATATTGATATATTATATATTGGATATTAGATAATGATATATTATATATTAGATATTGGATGGGGAACAGAACAGAAACAGTACAGGAGCTATATTACAGACAGGCCATCATGAATAAAGAGGAAAAGAAAATAGACTTTACATTCTCCATACCCCTCAATGAAGAGTACAGTATGTACATGTATATATCATATTGACTCCATCTTTGGTAACAAACACACCTGGTTAAGATTGCAGTGGATTTTTAATCCATGGAATGTTGTAGTCGAGGGTAAATCTAATGTAATGAATCCTTAACATTGTAGGTGAAGGTGAATCTGACCTGACAATTCTGTCCACCATACCAGTGTATGTAAATGATGCTAATGTTGCTGTGGCTGGAATGCTGCAGAATTTCACTTCCTTCACAGACATCCTTAAAAAACATCTCTTTTTTAATGACTGCCGAAGTCCAGAGTGTTTTTCATGTGAATATCTATGGGTATGCTTTCTTCTTCATCTTGTTAGCCTGGATAGATTCTGTAGCGAAAATGTACAAAGTAATTAACAACTCGTGTATAAATATTCACATTTACTGTACATAAGTTATAGGCACTCTGATGAATTGGAGCAATTTTTAATTCACTCTTTGATTGAAAATGAGTAAAAATGTTCAAAATAGGGTTTCCTGGTGTTAAGTATACAGTTGACTTGTATGATTATTAACTCACCTGAGCAAAGGTGTAAGTGGCTGAGCTTTACTGATTGGAGTTTGATTGTTTGTCCTGTCTGTGTAAACTTTTCACAGATTTAATTTTATTGAACCATGGAGCTAATTCAAATCAAACTTGCTACTGAGCATCCTTAGTAAAGCTTGGGATTCAAGTTCATTTGTACAAATGAAGGGGAAAAAGCAAGGCCCCCTTATCATGTAAATTAATTTTTAAAAATTATGAAATTTATAGAGTGGGGTCTTTAAAAATCTTCTCTAGAACCACTGGGTCAGTAGAATCAAAATTTTGGTAAATACTTCAAGGGTCTTCTTTCACCTACATATACATCAATCAGAAAAACAACGTGACTGTTGAGCTTTTTGGACTATTATCCTCTTGTATTTTATGTTGTAGCCATTAACCTGCTACCTTTTGGATGAAAATGGATATATTTTGTATGGAATGGATGGGGTAAGAATGTCATTATATCTGCTCTCAGTTCATTGTTTAATGATTTTTTAGGGAAATTGTGTCCCAATTAAATTATATAAGTTTCCATACAATTTGTCAAACAAATATATTAGGGATGTCAAGGAGTACTCAGTTAACCGGGTACTGGATCGAACATCCAAGTATGGAATACTAAAACTGGCACTTGGTTACTTGGATGAATATTTTTTTCTTATTTCAAAATAATTTAATTCTGGTTATAACGCGGTATTTGATTGGATAAAAAATTTACTTTATATCGTATAAATTGGGTTGCCTACGTCACAATGAATTACATCAAAAAGTATCGATCCGCCTGACGTTACATTTCAATTTTGTACAATTTGAAGTCTTTTTTTTAGGGCAATCGTCTTTTTTCTTACACTAAATGAATGAAATTAAATTATAAGGAATGAAATTAATAGCTACCAAATTTATTCAGTATAAAGTGGGTTGGAACAGTTTACACTTTTTTATAAACCGCTTCGTGGTTTATAAATTGTAAACTGCCCCAACCCGCTTTATACCGTATATATTGGGTAGCTATTAAATTCATTCTTTAAGTACATATATTTATCAAAAAACGAAAATTAATACACTTGTATTTACATTTTTACTGAGTACCTGGGTACCCCAGGCACTCGATTGGAAAATTGTCCAAGTAACCGATTATCAACTATTGACATATTTGACATCCCTAATATAATTTGATTCTGGTTGTGACGCTGTATTTGATTGGATAAAAAATTTACTTTATATTGTATGAAATGGGTTGCCTACGTCACAATGACTTGCGTCAAAATATATCGATCCGCCTGACGTTACATTCAAATTTTGTACAAATTGAAGTCATTTTTTAAGGACAATCATCTTTTTTTCTTACACCAAATGAATGAAAGTTGAATTATAAGGAATGAATTTTATAGCTACCCAATTTATACGGTATAAACTGGGTTGGAACAGTTTAATCTTTTTTATAAATAGCTTCGCGGTTTATAAAGCATAAACTGCCCCAACCCAGTTTATACAGTATAAAATGGGTAGCTATAAAATTCATTCCTTAAATATATATATATATATATATATGTATATATATATTGAATTTGAAATCTGTCAAGCGTTTTGCCATCTTGGGATATGTGTTCTTTCTAGTATGCATATTTGCTTAAATACCAGTGCTGGGGCAGGAAAAAAAGCAAAAAGATTTTAAAATATCCAAGATTACTTAAAATTAAAGATTGTCTAAATTATTGCCCTATGATTTAAGGGAAGATGCATTAGGGCTTTCAACTTAAACAAAGAGTAGCTATGGAAATAGAACACATAATGGGTTCTTTTTTTAATTCTGCTTGTTTCAGGTTTCAAAGTTTCTTGGAGATACAACAAATGATATGGGGTTAATGGCTAAGCTAATTGCAGATGGAGTTTTTATCAGGTGAGGGAATATAAATATTGTGATATATAATCTTAAAAAGAATGATAATTTGTTTTGAATTTATTTCATGGAAAGTTGATCAAACAATTGCAATATGTCTTCACTTGTATTCAAAGAAAAGATGGGATAAGATTGAGCAATGTCTAGGTTTTAAAGTATATACATTTCATTCTGCCAGGATTTTTATGTTTCCCACTTTGGATTGGGGGAGGGGGGGACATTGTTTTTTTTTTTTTTTTTTTGCTTTCTTCTTTATCCAAATATTGTTGAGGCCATAACAAGAGAACCCTTTGACATTGAGACTTCAAATCTTTGAAAATGATAAGGTGAGACAGGGTGCACTCTGCCATTTTTTTCATCCATTTTGTTAAGATCAATCCTCTTCATATTACCCAGGCCATATTTTGAAAACCCTTTGACATAAGGATTTCAATCTTGGAACATGGAAAATGAAATTAAGAAGAGGTGCACTGCACTAAAATATTTGACCTTGACCTACTTTTTTTTATCTGGGTCAATTTTTGACACATCAGACACATTTTTTTGTAGTATAATTTTTTTTTTTAATTTTATTTTACCATTTACTAATGCCATGCTTTCTTCAGGGAGAGCTACACAGATTTTCAAGCAGAGTGTAAGGAAAATTATGATGAAGAAACTGAGGACGAGTCTAGTTCTGCTACACTCATATTCAGTGTAAGTACAACTGAGGACCAGTTTAGTTCTGCTACACTCATATTCATTTTAAGAACAAACTGAGGACCAGTCTAGTTCTGCTACACTCATGAAATATGATAAACCTTTCAAAGTATGCAAAAGCTCAGCTATTCTGATTTTTATAGTGCTAAAAGGAAAATGTTTAACTTCTTTGAAATAGTATGGTCTACAGACAGGGCTTCCCTCCTCTGCCCTTCACTGAAAGTGAGATGCTTCATGATAAAACAAGGTCAACATAACAGTGAGTCTGAATTTGAAGGTGAACATGCAAGGCTGATGCTCAGTCATTTGCCCCACACTGTTCAATTTATTTCAATATGCTGCTCACCTATGTTTTAAACATAAAATGCTGTTACTTGTAATAGAACAGAGTGTGGAAGTCATAAGCATACAGCATACACCTTTCAGACTTTCATCTAAACTGATATTTTCCTCAATAAACATGGATTGTAAGGTAGCATATCAGCTTAATTCCTGTACAGTAAAACTCGATTTAAGCAGTGTTCTGGGAACCTGCAAATTTACTTTGCTATATCTGTAATTCGTTATATCCATATAATGAATTCCATAAAATATGCATATAGGGAATTCCCAATATAGATTTTTTCATTCAAATATGACTACCAAATTATCAAAGGAAGTATAAAAAACAAAAATTTACCTTGTTCAGTAGTTTTCAAATGAATTGAGTTTCAGATATAAATACTAACAAAATTAATGTCAGTTCAATATTTTGAAAATTTAGATCTTTGAAAATTTCCTTATAAAAGATGTAAATTTCGTTATTTTTAACTTTCTAGGAGACTCAAAATCAGTTCGCTATATCCGAAAATTTGCTATATCCGAGTTCGATCGTTATATCCATAAAATTTTACAAGGAATTGTTAAGAATTTTGCAGGGGATTGCAAAAACTTCACTTAATTGTCATAAATTCGCTATATATCCATGTTTGTACTAAACAAGTTTTACTGTATTTTAATCAGTATTATCCTGGTTTAGTGTCCAAAATAAGCTAACTTGCACTGTAAGTTTTACAAAGGAAAATATTATGGATATTTCTTGAATTTATATAGTGAAAAAAAAAAAGAAATATGGGAAATAAATTTATTCTTTAAAATTTGTGTTCTTTTGACCTTGTATATTCAAATGAAATCAATTATTTTGAATCAGAATTCTTTTCAGAATTTAATTCTAGTTTATCAAGCAAATGAATTTTACAATAAATTAATTATAAGTCAGATTGAGGGAGGGCAAATTTGTCCTTGAATACAATGTCTTGCAGGACTTATTATTAAAGAACTAGTTGCAAAAAAAAACCTACATAGTTTCAGATATGTATGCATGTAGTTTAATTCGTGTTTCTGATGAGAAAGGTTAATTATGTACATTACTTTGAATTTTTCAGCCATTAAAGAAACTTGTGAATATTCTACTTTGGTCATTTATGGAAATTATAATGTAAGTACAAAAAATATAGATATTAAGATACTCCACCTGCATACCAGTGCATTGATGATGATAATGAACAAGAGGCCCATGGGCCACATCGCTCACCAGAGCACATTGGCTAGGCAAAAGCACAAATCAGTTTAGTATTGAAAAGATTACAGGGGGGGCTTGAATTTTAAACTACCTGATGATGCTTCCATGTCAATATAACAAATGGCTTTGTTGTACTTGAGAAGATTTTAAAAAAAAAAAAAAAATGCCCATATATTCCTTTGTAAAAATCTGATCCCCCATTGTGGCCCTGCCCTATCCCAGGGGTCATCATTTGAACAAACTTGAATCTACACTACCTGAGGATGCTTCCATATCAATATGACTAAACATAGCTTTTCTGTTCTTCAGAAGAAATATTTTTTCTATATATTCTTATGTAAAACTTTTGATTCGCCATTGCGCCCCACCCTACCCCCAAGGGTCATCATTTGAACAAAATTGAATTTAAACTACCTGAGGATGCTTCCATATCAAAATGACTAAACATGATTTTCAGTTCTTGAGAAGAAGATATTTTCCAATATGTTCTTATGTAAAATTTTCAATCCCCCATTGTGGCCCAACCCTATTCCTGGGGGTCATTATTTTAACAAACTTGAATCTACACTACCTTAGGAAGCTTCCATATCGAAATGTCTAATCATGGCTTTGCAGTTCTTCAGAAGAAGATATTTTCCTATATATTTCTATTTAAGACTTTGATTCTCCATTGTGGCCCACCCTACCCCCAGGGGTCATGATTTGAACAAAATAGAATATACACTACCTGAGGATGCTTCCACATAAATATGATCAATCAGGGTTTTGCTGTTCCTGACTTTTTAAATTTTTCCTATGTAAAATTTTGATCGTCCATTGTGGCCCCACCCAACCCCCGGGAGTCATGATTTGATAAAAATAGAATCTTTACTACCTGAGAATGCTTCCATATAAATATGACTCATCATGGCTTTTGCTATTCTTCAGAACCCGGGGGTCATGATTTGATAAAAATAGAATCTACACTACCTGAGAATGCTTCCATATAAATATGACTCATCATGGCTTTGCTATTCTTCAGAAGAAGATTTTTAAAGATTTTTCCTATATATTTCTATGTGAAACTTAGATCCTCCATTGTGGCCCCACCCTACCCCGGGGGTCATGATTTGAACAAACTTGAATCTACACTATCTGAGGATGCTTCCATATAAATATGACTCATCATGGCTTTGCTGTTCTTCAGAAGAAGATTTTTTTAAAGATTTTTCCTATATATTTCTATGTGAAACTTTGATCGTCCATTGTGGCCCCACCCTACCCCCGGGGATCATGATTTGAACAAACTTGAATCTACACTACCTGAGGATGCTTCCATATAAATATGACTCATCATGGCTTTGCTGTTCTTCATCAGAAGATTTTTAAAAGATTTTTCCTATATATTTCTATGTGAAACTTTGATCCTCCATTGTGGCCCCGCCCTACCTTTGGGGGTCATGATTTGAACAAACTTGAATTTACACTACCTGAGGATGCTTTCACATGAGTTTCATCTTTCTGGGCCCTGTGGTTCTTGAGAAGAAGATTTTTAAAAGATGCTATTAATTTTTCACTAATTCTTTATTATCTCCCCTTGAAAGAGGGCGTGGCCCTTCATTTGAATATACTTGAATCCTCTTCACCCAAGGATACTTTGTGGCAAGTTTGGTTGAAATTGGCCCATTGGTTCTTGAGAAGAAGTCGAAAATGTTAAAAGTTTACAGACGGACGCCGGACAAAAAGTAATCAGAAAACCTCACTTGAGCCTTTGGCTCAGGTGAGCTAAAAACTATGTCAAATTACTATATCAAATTTTCTTTTAAGAAATGCAGTTTGATTTATTAATTTAAATTAAGCAAGAATGTTATTTCTAAGTTTAAAAGAATGAGGTACTAATACTATGCTCTTACAGGACTGTGTCCCAGATTGGACTGAGTGGCTGGTTTTATTCTGAAAAAGCATCAGGTAATTATAAGTATTATGTGATAAATATCCAAAACATACGATAATTATAAGTACTGTGCAATATATATCCAAAACATCAGGTATTGATAAGTACTATGTGATATATCCAAAACATTTGGTAATTACATGTATAAGTACTATGTGATAATCAGATATATCCAAAACATCTGTAATAGATAAGCTAGTCCGAAATATCTGACGTTTTCCTGGTTTTTTTCTGATTTTGATATTTTATGTGCCAGGAAAACGTCAGAACCAGTGCCATTACGAAAACTGGGAATTCGCCGGCTCCAACCGGAGGCAGCATTCTCGGGTTGATTTTCGATACTTGCGAACTGAACTAAATGTCAAACTCGCAACTTATTAAATGAATGGTACAATACTTTTAGTACTCACCAACATCGTTTTTATGGTTCATTTATTAAATATACAATCAGATGAAAACATTTTATCTGACTGTCGAGATTTGTTTTCATTTTGTGCATTTTAAAATCTTGCAAGTCCTGTATCGAAATGCGGAGTTATGTTTTCTTTTCATTGATATTGGTGAGTACTGGAAGCATTGTGCTATCGATAAATTGTGAGTTTGGCATTTAATTCAATTTGCAAGTATTGAAAATCAACTTCGGTTGGAGAAGGCGAAATTTCCAGTTTTTGTAATGGCGCCGGTTCTGACGTTTTCCTGGCATGTAAAATATCAAAATTGTAAAAAAAAAAAAAAAAAAAAAAAAAAAAGCCAGGAAAACGTCAGATATTTCGGACTATAGATAAGCATGTATATCAGTTTAAATTGTCTACTCCTATGTGTACATGTATCAATGATTAAAAGCAGTGTGACTTCCCTGAAACATAATGTGATTAATCTGAGCATAATACATGGTTTGCATAATGCATTTTATTTAAGTAAAAATAACAGGACATTATGAATACTTCACATATAAAATTGTTAATATGATTTTGTGTGAAATGATTCTCTATTATCTCTGTCCAGCTGCCCCGGTTGCTGATAATACGTGCATGTTTCTGGGGCCGAATATAACATTCGAAAGCATGGACCCAAATTTTAAGGAATTTGCTCTGAAGTTTTATTGTCGCAAAGAACCTCAAGATATCCAGTTAGTGCCTTGTCATATGACTAAAAGAGCTTATCGAGCCAACTTCAGAGTGTTCAGGAAGCGTAATAAAAGAACAGGTGAAGGGTTTGTCCTTGATGGCGTCATCAGAGGTTGTTCTCCCTCCAACTGTACCAGGTGAGATGAGCGATATTAATTCAAAGGAAAATGAGTTAGAAGCCCAAACCTATTTACTTTTATGGTTTCTCTATACTGGTATATTTTATGGATAAATGTGAAAAATGCTTTTACTTTTTTAGTTGACAAAAATATGGTAATGGCAAACATTGGAATCCTTATACTTAATTCATATGTTAATGTTCTCATCGTCAGCTGTTCTAGCTTCAATTAAAATATAAAGATTAATTGTTCTTATTGTCTAGCAAACACTTTAATGATAGCTAAATTCAGGATCTACTTAATGGCAGATTATTTATAGTAGTGAAAGCTATTAATTTTTATTGTTTGCTCTTTACTTTTTTTGGACATTGTCAGTCATATAAATCTCACTGAGAAAAGTCAAACTTCAGCTTACTGACAAATGACAGATCTGAGAATTTAACTCTTACTGGCAAAGTTCATCTGAAATGCTGAGAAACCACAAAAGAGATAAACAAGCCAGGTCTGAAAGCATCAAGTTGACCTTAAACTTGTTTAATTCAGCCCCCAATCTTACATTCACTATTTGAGGTGCATTAGTTATGATCTGTACACTATAAAGTCTTGCATAATCAAAGGCTGCATTTTATCCGACCCAGAACTTAAGTTTAGATGTATGGTGTTCTTAAGAAGTTAATACTTGTTGTTTTTCAGCAGCTAGCATTCTATTTGTTCATTTTGACAGGAGTTATGCAGTGGTCTGGATTAAGGACACTAATATGATGCTGGTGGCTGTTGAAAATCAGGGTTGTAACTGTACTGGGGTTACAGATGAAGTAGCGACCATGAAAGGAAGTCCAATCATTTATATCCTTTGCTCAAATTTCACATGAATCAAACTTTTTTGTGTACTATTTCTCTAAATTTAAGAAGTCTGAAAGAATTAAATGAAATTTTTCTCTTTAAAAAAATGTTGGGCATGCAGTAACTTTTATAGCAAGAATATATCAAGAATGTATAGCAGTGCTAAGGGTAAAAAAAAAAACTTGTGAATTTTTTTTTTCATTATAAGGATTATCAGATTACCCCAGGTAATTAATGTGCAATAATTTTCATATGTCTATTCACTACTTATTCCCTAGGGCTAGAATGGATGTATGTGGTTCAAACTTTAATATAGAAGTTTTATGAAAGATTATTTCACAAAATATTTTGTTAAATAAATTAAAAAAAAAAACAGCAAAACTTTATTTTCTCAAATTGAATTGCAAGTATCCCCGTATTGTGGAGATTTTAAACTGCAAATCTCATGTCAAGGTCAGGCCACAAAAAGGTTACTTGACAATAGGGGTACCAATTTTACACCAAAATGTAAGCATCTAAACACCTTAACAAGACTAAAATTTGTAAATTGATTCGGTCAGTATTCTGTAAATTGAAATCATTGAAACAATACGTATCAAATTGATGGTCACTCTAAGGGATTTCATGTATCTACTTAATTAAGCATTTGGGAAGAAGAATATGGCTCAGCTGATCCTGTGGCAATTTTTTGGCAATTTCCTTGACATTTCTCACATAATGATACAGAAAACTGTCAGCTGATGCAAGAAATCTCCAGTAGAGGGCGGGTACATACCAACTGTATTGACAGGAATTCAAAAGTGAGCATTGTAGTATTTAAAAAGAGATCTGAAGTAATCAGTAGAGTGGCGGTATGTAGACTTACCATAGATCCATAGGAATGTGTCAGGTGCTGTACAAACTTGTGCAGGTAGTATTTGTAAACACCATAACCCAGAGGATATCCGGTTAAAGAACTTGAAAAGTTAACTCTAAGGTAAAAAGACCTAGACCACAACTAAAGGGTAAATAGTAAAGAGACCTGTAGACCACAACTGAGAGGTAAACCATAAAGAGACCTGTAGACCACAACTGAGAGGTAAACCATAAAGAGACCTGTAGACCACAACTGAAAGGTAAACCATAAAAAAGACCTGTAGACCACAACTGAAAGGTAAACCATAAAATGACCTGCATATACTTCAACCCAAAGGTAAACAATACAAATCCCCTGTGTATATACAACACAACCCAAAGGTTAACAATACTGATACACAACAACCCAAAGGTAAAAACAGCTGCCTGATCACCTGTGTATATCACAACCCAAAGATAATCAATACTGTTTCCTTGTGTCTATCACAATTCAGAAGATGTCAATAATAATACAGGTACATGTATAGACTGCCCAGGGCAAATAATACAGGGACTTTGTTTAAATCACACTGAAAGGTAAATAGTACCAAGTGCTTGAGGTAACACAGAGCAAAGGTAAGTAATACTGATCTAATGATCCAGCAAGTTAAATATTTTATCCAAGATTAATAATTATGCTTATTTTGTGATAAAATTACTTTTTATCATTACTTAGGTAACGTTACTTGACATATGTGTGATACAAACTGATAATGATAATTTACTTGACATTTACACAAATCAAACTAAAAAACCATGATACTTTACTTGAAAAACGTGTATACAAACTGATAATGATAATGTACTTGACATATGTGTGATACAAACTGATAATGACACTTGACCAATATATGATACAAACTGATACAGTAAAACAAGGTTATAGCGAACATGCTTACAATGAGTTCACGCTTACAACGAAGCAATTTTCATTCCCTGTGGTTTTTAAATGTATTGTTATCTTAACGGATATAACAAATAACGTTTATAACAAATCAAAATTGCATATCCCTGGCACTTCACTATAAGCATGTTTTACTGTAATGATACTTTACTTAACAAATATGTGATACAAACTGATAATGATACCTGACCTTGACCTTTACAGGAGGAGACTCAGGAGTGTGGTTGCTGTGGTCTGTTTGTGTCTGTGCCTGTCCTCTTACTGTCTGTGGCCTTGACCTCTTGGTACAGCACATTCTTTGACCTTTGACATGAAGGAACTCTGTGAGACATTCATTATGAAAAATTATGCAATTTTAGTCATCCAGGTTATTCATTTGGCATTTCCATAATATTAGAGACACTTTTCTTTAAAAGAAATTAAATCTGAAATTAAATTTTCATAAAAGGTAGCAAACAAAAAAAAAAATTAAGAACTGTGCACAGAAATTGTGTTTGTTTGAGTTAAGTTTCAGTATTCACCGAAATAAGAATAAATTTGATGTACTGTATATGACATGTATGTTTTCAAAGAATTTGTGTACCATATTTATGTTATTGAAAGCAGTTTTATATATATATATATATATATATATATATATATATATATATATATATATATATATCAAGTATAGAAGATTGTCAAGCACTCAGTGTATCAAATGAAATGAGTTCATGAAATTAATATAGAAGTTAATGTAGAACTAAACATTAAACAACAATTGCACTGTATGTGAAAAAAAATCACTTTTCAAAGGAAGTACATTGCAAAAAATATTTGCTAAAATTAATAATGGACATGTAAATCTGAATAAGTAAAGTTGCTATTAGATACATGTACCAGAATCCAAAGAAAAGTAATTCAGTGTTTGTATGATCAAGTTGTGAAATGCAGGGTTTTGTTGAAGTACTGATGTACTGTATGAATTGTTTTTAATCATGTGTATATTTTTATGTAGAAGGTATATTGTTTTACCACTGATCAGTTCCTGCAGCTAAAATCATTTTAAGTCAATTTATATTATAGATTTTTTTTTCTTGTATTTATTTGCTTCATTCTAATATAGTGAACTGTAGTCCAAGAAACACTCTTCCCACCAACTAAAGGTGTTATGAATTGACTAGAAATTTATCATAGGTGGTTTTAAATGACTAGTTTGAAGTAGTTTCAAATATTTTTATTCTCAAACATATCAATACAAACTCATATAAAAAAAAAATAAAGTATATTGATTAACCAATATTTATGTCCATTGTGTGAATATGTGTTTCCACTATAGCCTTGATCCAATAATGTAAATAGGTTGCTCAAAATTGCTATTGTATTTTAGTAAATCATGTTAAATTCAGCAAACATGTCTGCTATGAAAATTATTATTGCAAATCCAGGAATTGGTAACAGGACTAGGTTATACATTATATCCATTAGCTATGAATGTCAATATAATACTCTGCTAAGTGGCAATCAGTCTTCATGGGTTGGATTATTTTTAATCCAAAATTGTGTGAATCATAGTCATACTTCATCAGCTCACCTGAGCTGAAAGCTTGAGTGAGCTTTTCTGATCATTCTTATTAATAAGATCATATTAAAACTTTTTAATCAGTATAGTTTAAAAGCTGAGTTTAATTTTATATATTTATGTTCTTTAGTACGTGGTTCCTTTAAGTTACCGGTATACTGTAGATCACTAGATTTTCACGACACTTTATTTTTCACTAGATATAGCTATTTGGTATTTATAAGACACACAAAATTTCAACAAATTTTGGTTACTGTTGTATATATTGTCCTTAATCATACAAATTTATGCGAGAATCATTTTCTTTGAACAGTCTCATGTCATTACGCAAAACTGAATTTCTGAAGAATAGTGAATTAAAATACATGTACATAATTTTTAAAAAAAAAATCTGCTTCATATGTGTGGTTATCATGTATGACTTTTAGCTCACCTTAGCTAGGAGATAGTTTTATCAGTAACGTTTGTATGTGTTCATAGACTCTCTTTACTCTTGACTTGGCACATTTTTTTCTGTAGAACGTTTATACTGGCCCATCAAACCTCTTCTGAAAGACCTGTATTCTAAAGGACCAAACGTGACTCTGTTGTTCAGTGAGGAAAACCATAGCTTCATAAATTCAAATACATCATAGATACATTTTTGCAAAGTATGATTGAATGACTAACATTGTTTCATTTTCAAATGCATTGTGTATTTCATGCATGATTTCTGACTAAATTGTTTTCATAGCTTTCAACATGCAGATAACTAATTGTTTAATGAATGTTCAGGTGAGCACAATTTAATTTTCATTCCTTTTTTTTAACCACTTGATCATCAAAAAGAGAACAATGAATAATATTGTAGAACTGATATACAATCACTAGTGAAATGTGTGCCTTTTTGAGTGTTGTCACTTAAGCAGGTGGACTGTACAGGGTTTTTATCCTTCGTGTTGTGACGAGTTTTCATTAATTAACTCAAGTCCTTCTTAAGGATTTGTTTGTTTATTGTTAATGAATATTGTTGAAAATAAAGGTTTTTTTTTCACATTCATTACTTTGTTTATTTGTCACTCCAGCCTTTATCATGTGGTAAACGTCAAAGAATATTTATTTTATAAAGATCATAGAAAAAAGATCAAACTGATTAGCTAACCTGAGCCAGTACAAATTTTCACTGACCCTTATCTTTAATTTAAAAAGTGACCTTATCAAGTTTATGAACTTTTTTTTTATAAAACATGGGCAACAACAAACAAATCAAGGTTGATGTTTATCGTGCAAAGGTAGATTTGAATGAATGAATTCAAAATTGTCGGAATGAGCATGTTGTTACTGATGAACCCAAGATGGCTTTGATTTTGATTCTCAGTTAAATCATAAAGGTCAGGGTGAATGAAAATGATATCTGATATAACTTTAGAATCCTTGATTGGTATAAATCGGAGTTAAGTGTATTGTTGCTGATGACCTTTGTTTTGTTTTTGTTTTTTTTAACCTTGACCTAAGTCATATGTCAAAGGTTATATCATCAAGGGCATAAAGGAATGGCAGTTGCATATTCTTGAAAGTGGAGACATTCATTTTCTTTTTTTAAAAATCTGTTCTAGTTATCCCCTCGCAACGAGGTTGGAGGGGATATAGTAACGCCTGTATGTGAGTGAGTGCGTGCATGACGGAAGTGT